TCGACAGTCGTTATTAAGAAAAGTTGATCTTAATAGAAAACTACGGTCAGGTATTCAATATTATCCATCTACCATTGAAAACCATCTTTAATAATTTTTGGGTATAAATACAGGGTGAGTCAGTTTTTGTGGTAGGATTTTGACAGTTGATAGAGATTCATTTTTTAATAAGAAAAGTTCCTATAAACGTAGGTCTTAGAACGCTTTGTTTGTGAGATATAGAGTGTTGAAAACAAACTTTTTTTAAGAATTTTTCTTAATATCTCTAAAAGACCAACATATATTGAACTGAAATTTGGTATTAATAACACATTGGTTATTGTGAATAAAATAAAGATATCTGTTATCCATTTCACCCACCAGTGACGTGCCTGAGGTGGGTAACTGCCCCCTATAAAAAAATAATTCGTACGCCCGTGAATTTTTCAAGAAAATAACATCATTTCTAAATTTTTTAATCAATTCTGAATAAAACAGATCTCTTTCAATTTTTTATAAAATTAACAGTTTTTGGTTAAATTCATTTTGCATGAAACTGTTCCAACGGTATTGGTACCTAATACATTTGTGAATTATTAAGAAAAATATGATGTGCACTGAAAATCAACAAAAACGATTGAATGAATAATAACAGTTGATAGATAATCATTTTTTAATAAGAAAAGTTTCTATAAACATAGGTCTTAAAACGCTTCGTTTGTGAAATATATACGGTGTAGAAAACAAATATTTTTAAGAATTTTTCTTAATATCTCTAAAAGAGCTAGAGATATTAAACTGAAATTTGCCATGAAAAACCAAACACAGAACTTAAAAAAAGAACTAATTGACACACACGTTACACAATGTTTGCGTTCTTATGTCAACATTATCACATTTAATCGTTTTTGTTGATTTTCAGGGTACATCATATTTTTCTTATTACAAATGTATTACCAATATCGTTGGAACAGTTTCATGCCAAATGAATTTAACCAAAAACCGTTCATTTTATAAAGAATTGAAAGAGAGTTGTTTTGTTCAGCGTTGATTAAAAAATTTAGAAATTATGTTATTTTCCAGAAAAATCCACGGGCGTACCAATTGTTTTTTAAAGGGGGCAGTAACCCACCTCAGGCACGTTACTGGTGTGTGAAATGGATAACATATATCTTTGTTTTATTCACCATAACTAATGTGTTATTAATACCAAATTTTAGTTCAATATATGTTGGTCTTTTAGAGATATTAAGAAAAATTCTTTAAAAAAGTTTGTTTTCAACACCCTATATCTCACAAACGAAGCGTTCTATGACCTACGTTTATAGGAACTTTTCTTATTAAAAAATGATTCTCTTTCAACTGTTAAAATGCTAGTACAAAAAACTGACTCACCCTGTATAATAGGAATTATTTCCTACAATAAATTATAATTTAATTTTGCAAATCATTAAACATTTATTGTATTGAATTCATTGGTTTTTCGGTGCATCGTAGATTTAATATCGATATCTAGACGTACTTTATCAATGCTAATACAGAGAAGAGTGCAACAATAACAAAATCTTTTTTTTAATGGTTGATGGATAATGTTGGATATCTCACCAGAGTTTTCTATTAGGATCAACTTTTTGTAATAACGATTGTCGATATTGTAAAAATAAAGGTACTTTGCTCTTGAGTAAAATTTACATTTTTCAATAAACCTCGTATACAACAGCAATTGAAATCTGATTGCTTCATTTTGGGGTTTAGACCATACAGAACTTTTTGTCAAGAATAACTTTTTTTCATAAAACCAATAACAAAAAGGTATTTAACACCGAAAAAAAAAACACATTGTCGTTACTACCTACATTTACCTGAAATTTATTTGGCTATACACAGTTTTTAATTGGAAAAATCAGTGGACTTTTCTGTAATTCACACATTACAAGCTAACTGAAAATATAGAATTTAATTGGTACTTAATTCACACATACATATAATAGTAATTGATTGATATACGTATCCAAAACGACTTAACTAAAATTATCATTAGAACATGTTTTAACAAGCAGTAATAATTGTCCAGAATGGCTAAATATTATTTACTGGAAATTCTAATATTTGGCGAAGGCGGCGATATTAATGTGATTTTGATAGATGCTAGTATAAATTATTGACAAAAAAATCAAATAATTATAAATAAGCCAATACAAGTCTTAAGTAGCTAAGACTATTGTCTAATATGCTAAATTTTATTACAAGGATATTATAAGATGTTACTAGAAATAATAATTAAGTCAGGTTTTAAAGAGAACAAATTAATATTATAAAAAATGCTCAATTCACAATTTATTAAAAAAGGTTTGGCACTTTTTGTAAATACTCATATTTCGTTTCTAAATGAGCACATTTTTTTTTAAATTATATTTTTATTAATTTAATAGCCTTAGCATTTTTATTTTATTATAAACTAAATCAAATAAATTTTAAAAAAATCAAATAAAGTCATTGTTCTTTTATAATAAATATTTAGATGCAAATGATATCTAAAGTTACAAGTTAGATCAGAATTGTTATTTTAAAAGTGAATACCAAACTTTTTTTTATAAAATAAAACTGTCATTAAAAGTTAACTTTTGCATAATTAAGAGTCAAAACGACAGTTTTTTGTTTACAGAACGTAAAAAAATTTATATCCAGAAGGTAAAAGACTTTAATATTAAATTAATGTGAAAAATTCTTCTTCACATTTTTAATAATTTTTTAACTGTAATAAAATTGCTAAACAAATCCATGCGTCAGAAAAATCAATTCTGAAGGGTTTTTTTAATGCTAGATATTATTGTCCAGCTATAATATAAACGAAAATGTATGTCTGAGTGTTTGTAGAACATCTGCCATCTAAAAGCCGAGTATCAAAGCCAATAGCCCTCACGGATGCCGGTTTAAGAACATTAATTATTATATCTGGAATATCCACTCCCAAGAACTAAGCAGCACCCTCGAACCACCACAACTCTATAATAGACAAAGGAACTAATTGAATGAGCGCTTCGTTAAAAGAAACTGGAAACTCCATAACAAAGGGAGTATTAACTCGTCGAAGTCTCTGTGTTTAGTCATTAATTTGAGTTAAATATCGCTTTAAGGGGTTTCGCCAGATTGCTCACGGGATATGCTTGTTTATTTATAGACAATAGGTATGGCGCGAATACTCAAAGGGAGTAGTAATAAGAGAATCAATGAAATTATCGCCATTACTGACCTAATTGACGCTATGAGAACAGACCCATCTGACACACACGTTCAATAGGATCGGTTCGCCTCTAATAATACGCGCGAGAGACAACCAAGTTGCAACGCTTGTATCGGGTAGAACGACGCCTTATATTTCAGGTATAGATTTTATAACGTGTCATAATATTATCTTCGTTTTACCTTAAGGCTGGGGTTCTGTAAGTAGACAAGAAATCGCACTTTTAATAAGTCAATGATAGAACAAGTAGATCCATCCAGAAAGTGACGAAGAGTGACTTTCTTTAATTTTTCGCATTGAAAAATCACGGAGAGCGTGTAAACATCAGAAAATGTACATTTCCTGTTTTGTCCAGCAAATTTGTAAAGATACTCAATAATTGTGGTTAATGCATGTGCTCATATTTTCCTAAAAACATTCTGCGGGGTGTGATTATGTTTATAGTACCGTACATGATTTTCTGTATGTTCAACAGGCGTACAAACTTCAGGATACGAGAAAAAAATATGTTTTTTTTTCTTATTTTGAATGTATTTTCAGTTGCTTTATACCTGAAGAAAACCTATATAATTGGTATAGTGAAGAGATATTGTTTCTAGCTTACATAGATTTTCTAAAATGCTTGACAAAAATATAAACGCCCCCTTAAAATATTTGGACATTTTTCGAGTATTTTGCCACATGCAAAATGAAAAATTATTAAGAAATAAATAGAACAGTCATGGTTTGTTTTTAGCAAATTTATTTTTGTCTTACATTGAAATAGGTAAATCCGAAAGTTTCTCTAATCATTTTCAAAATAAACCTATTAAGTAATACTATATAATTAATACTTTATCATCTATTTTTATAGACATATGTTAATACTATACTTATGGCATTTACTTTTTATTACTTCCTCTTTGAGGATTTGTAACGGAGATTGGTATAAATTTAAACAAAAATCAGAATGTGAAAGAGCTTTCAAAACGTAAATATAGTATTCTAATGATTCCATTCATTCAGTGGCTTCCATTTGATGACTTTATTTATGCCAAATGATTATATGACTTATTAAAAAAATTATTTGAAATTAAATTAAACGAGATATGGTAAATAATTTGTTTTTTAATTTCGTTGATATTGAAAATGTTTCTAATTATTATTAATGTTAAAATTATAATATTAACATCCATCTAGAAAAAAAAATTGTTGGACCTTATCCCAAAAATCAATATAAATACAAATACCTATCACATAAATGGCCTCAACGCGAAATAAATTTATTTCGTTTTCTATTTTGTCATAACTTCTAGCCTAATTTAATTTACTTTATTCTAATTTATGTTCTTATAACTTCTGATTATAAACAGTACACATATATCTAGAAATCCACATGTTTAATGAATTATACATTTCTTATTAATTATTAGTTATTTTAAGTACATAAAAACCTAAACCAAAACGTCTTTTCTCAGTTGGGATTTCAGATTGATATGTTGATTAAATCACCTTTAGACATCATATATTCATTAACTTCATTAAGTTATCTGCAGAATGAGAGGTCATATCTAAAAATAAATCATGTAAAGGTGTTATTATATGTATATCTTAAGTGGATAAACCTTTTCCGACAGACATAAGAAGCAAATGTTTCTTTTAAACAAACAGTACTGCAACTCACTATATCATCTTGAAAATTTTAGGATCGACAGATAATCTTATCTGTATTGTACCTTCCAGTGATCTAAGTTTTATAAGTAATATAGAAAAGAATTTTTCAATGTGTCTGCTAGTAGTGAAAATGAAGTTTGTTACTGTATTACTGTTTACATGGGTCGGCTTCGTCCTTTCTGACGATGTCGTCCATTACGATGGGTAATTTTAACTACTTTTATTGCCAGTACTATTATTTGTAATAAATAATGAAAAATTAGTGTATAATTTATAAACATTTTACTTTTCGGGTGTCTTCAAAGCTATGCGGAGTCACAGATATTTTTGGAAATTAGATGTTGAAGAAAATGAGTATATACTCCAAAAAAAAACTAAAGTAACATTTCATCTCCCGTCTATATTATACTCGTATTTTAACAAATGTTTTGATTTCACAACAATACTTAGAAAAACGACTATATGTATCATTTCGAAGACAACCAAATATAATATTTTTTTTTTTTTACCATCATACCCAAAATAAAATTTACTATTGCTCTATAAAACAAGTAAATAAAAATCAGCGTTTTCTAGACCATGAGCAAAAAATAGGAAGGAATTAAAAAAATGTATGAAACTCAAAATCAATGAAAGTATTAGACATTAATAATGACAAATTAAGGTTTTTCTGGTGTTTTGCAGTTATAAAGTATATCAGATCTTCCCAAAAACCGTTGCTGAATCTGATTTATTAAACAAATACCAGGAAAATGGAAAGTTTGACTTTTGGTCAAGGCCAAGCATACTTGGTGCACCCGTTGATTTAATGGTTACCCCAACAGCTCAGGCGAGCTTTGAAAAAGACATGAAGAGCAGTGGCTTAAACTACACGTTACTCATTAATAATGTCGAAGAGTAAATATTATACATACCTATTTAAGTGTCTCGATAAATAGATCTGTCTTCCAGAAAAATTCAAGAAGAGAACAAACGTCTCAAATTAGCAGCTACGGTAGAGGAAGGCGAAGTAACCTTTACCGAATATATGAGACACGATGAAGTAAGTAGATCAGTTATAGAAAAGTAAAATTGGTGGCAAGATACACATCTCTGATATACGAAATAAGTTAAAACAGTTCTAAACCAAAAACGATGGGGTTGGAATTAGAAAAAAATGAGAGGGGGTTCGTCGATAAATCAAATGTTCTTTGTGTTTTTTTGTGGAATGCATTGTCCGTCAGTTAAAGTAAAACAATAATATTTCTGACCCTTCAGGTTCCTCCTAATTTCGACGCTGTTTATTAGATTTTGTTCACAAACTACGATGGAACTTCACGCTACCAAGTTGGAAGTCCATATATCATCAATGGTTCTTGAGTAATTGACCAAAAATTGAGTTCCAGTTCCTTTCTTTGAAGAATCAAAATTTTTTACGTTTATTTTGTTCATTTTGATGTGAAGAATTAGATTGTCGTAACGTGAATTGCAACCGTATATATAGATGCATCGTTAAGAATTGAAATTTAGATTACTCATAAACCTGAGAAACGTTTTTAAAAGTAATTAGATAAAAAATGATTTAAAAAAAATCGAAAGAAAGTGACTTTAATAGACAATAGGTTCAATAGGTTCAAGAGGTTTAGAAATCACTAGACGCAATATGATTTTGATACACGTTTTTTTAGGTCAATGCATACCTAAGACGACTTGCTCAGGACTACCCTGACGTCGTCCAGGTCGAGCAGATCGGACAGTCTTACGAAGGCAGAGATATCCTTCTCATCAGGATTTCAAGCGGAGGCTCCAATAAGCCCACCATATTTGCAGATGCAACAATCCACGCAAGAGAATGGATAGCGGGGTCTATGGCTTTATATATTATTAATCAGCTCGTTGAAAACCCAGAAAACAGCGCTGTGTACCAAGATATCGACTGGGTACTCGTTCCAATTGCAAATCCAGATGGTTACGAATATACTCATACAGACGTAAGTAGATTCGAAGTGTCTCTATAAGTAGTCATTGTTTCAAATTATGTTTATTTTATTAAATTGAGATAACAAACACCGTACCGTATTTGACATAATTGTAAAGTTTTTTATCCAGGTGTAATAGTCCGAGTACCTGAATATATTTAAAAACAAAGGTCAAATACTTGCCTTGGATAAGATTTAAAAGGTATTTTGGTAACATTCACTTATGGTGGGACGGCAGGTACACACACAACAGGATGTCAAAAAGTAATGTGATAAACTCCAAACCATAATAATACCAAAATCGTAGGAAAAGGCCTTTGGTCCATAGAAGGTCCTTCAATTGACATAATGGTATTTTTTCTACATGTTCTTATGACCATTTTTATTTCCTTTTAGGAGAGACTATGGCGAAAAACAAGATCCAAGGGCACGATATGTTACGGCACTGACCCGAACAGAAACTTTGATTTCAAATGGATGGTAGCAGGAGCTAGTGACTGGCAGTGCAGCGACGTCTACGCAGGCTATTCCGCTTTCTCTGAACCCGAGACTAGAGCATTGAGAGACTACCTCCTAAAATACAAAGACGACATCAAACTGTATCTGGCCATTCACAGCTACGGGCGTTATCTCATTTTCCCCTGGGGATACACCAGTGACCTTCCAGATGACAACGATTTACTTGTTTCCGTGGCCGAACGTGTTAATAGCGCCATTGTTGCAGTAGGTGGTGTCAGCTACGCCATAGGTACTTCCACTAACGTCTTGGGGTTAGCAGCCGGTTGCAGCGATGACTACGCCAAAGGAGGTGCTGGCATCAATTTGTCTTATTGTGTTGAATTGCCAGGTGGAGGAGATGCTGGATTTAATCCGCCAGCGTCGAGTATCTTGGAGATAGTTGTGGAAACCTGGGAGGGATTTAAGGCGTATCAAGAGTACATACAGGAAACATTTGTCGATAGTTAATTTTTAATATTTACTGAAACTGGCGGCTAGAAAATTGGAGGAGTGTAATTGAATGTAACAAATATTTTCATAATGCAAATAAAAAGCAGTAAACTGATCCAATGTTTCCTTTTGTACATGGCATCTAAGCCATGACTAGAAACCTGTTTATGGGATATGAAAATTAGTCGTCACTAATTAATCTATACGGACTTTCTTTTGACCTTCAGCCAATTTGAAAACGTTTGCCTTCATATTTATTTATTTATTTATTTATTTATTTATTTATTTATTTATTTATTTATTTATTTATTTATTTATTTAGAAATTGCAATATCCAACGGGACAAAATCCTAATTACAAGATAAGGTAAAACAAAAAACCTTGACTAAATTTAAAAAGAAAAAGACAAACTAACAGTAAATATAAGAATAAAAGTACTACATAAAATAGAGCAATCAAAATATAAAATCCAGGCAAAGAAACTTAAGTATAAACAATAACAGATTAATAAAACAAATCAGCTAACTAACACATACAAAATAAGGATTACGTTTGCTAGACAAACAATTTTTTTATGTCATTCATTGAATGAAAAAATATATCAAGTCGATCTTCGGACTTCTGATAAATGGAAATCATTTGATATAGGGGAGATGCTATTAGTAAATTGGTACGAGGTATGGATAGGTAATTATAAAGCAGAGTGAAATCTAGAATCAAGTCTAAGAACATGATATAAAATCCTTGAGACTAACGAGTCTGCATTTAAAGTGTTATTTATAATTTGAAAAAAGAATATAATTGAAAACATAATTCGCCTACGACAGAGACTATTAAAATTAAGACAAGAAAACAATAAATCTTGAGGTGTACCACGAGGAGGATAAAATCCATAACTAATAAAATGAATAGTCTTTAAAAATCTCCCTTGTACTTTCTCTAATTGAATGTTAAAAATATTATAAATGGTACTCTAAACAACCGATGCATATTCAAGTTTGCAACGCACAAATACTGCATACAATATATTTAGAACATTCTCGTTCTGAAAGTCCTTAGAATTACGCAAAATAAAGCCTAAATTCTTATAAACAGATTTGGTTAATAAACTAATGTGCTCGTCAAACGATAATCTAGTATCAAAAATGTAACACCAAGGTCAGTAAATTGCGTAAGTCTATTTAAAAAAGATTCACCAATTTTATAATTAAAATCTAAATAATTAGTTTTACGACGACTATAAGACATAATTTTACATTTGCTTACATTTAGAGGTAGATTATTATTACATGAACACCAAATGTGTAATTTGTGAAGATTATCTTGTAATCTAGTACAATCAGTAGAGGGCTTAACTTCCAAGAACAACTTCAGGTCGTCAGCATAGAGTAAATAGTTGACATCGAGGCATTCAGTTAAGTCATTAATATAAATAATAAACAACAGTGGCCTTAGGATTGACCCTTGCGGAACTCCTGAAGATTGATAGAATTTACATGATTTAAAGCTACGATACTGCACAAATTGGTACCTAGTACTAAAATAAGACTCAAACAAAGATAATATAGCAGGGGATATACCATATGACACCAATTTCATTGTTAATAAATTATGATCAAGCCGATCGAAAGTTCTGGAAAAATCGATGTACACAACATCAACTGACTTCCTGCATCCAAAGCTTCAGCAATAAATTGGGTTTCCTCAACTAGATTTGAGGTAGTTGAACGACCACTCACAAATCCATGTTGATATGAAAATAAAGTCGATTGTGCAAAATTATTTCCAGGATTTTTGAGAAGTTACTTATAATAGATATATTATACACTATTCGCTTTTAAAACTTTTTCACTCTTGCCAATCTTATAAACTTTGAATCACCAAAAAGTCAATAGTGGGTTACTTATAATTTGGAATGGTCTAAGTAATTTAAGAAAAGGTTTACAATAAAAATGAAACTCAAGATCTACAAATCAATATATTTTTTCAAAGGATCCCGCAAAATTCTCATGGAAAGTGCGTTTCGGCTAAGGATGGTGCCTTGAAAATTGAGGATTAATATTAAATCATCTACTGCAATAGAGAAATGATCATTTAAAACTCGATTTAAAATTTATAAATAATATATTGATGTTTTGATTAATGAAACTAGTTTAGTAAATATGTATTTAAACTACATATATGACGGATATCGCCGTACTTCTTTAGTTTTCATAGCTTCGCATTGTTTTATTCAATACAAGATAAAACAAAATAAACATGGCATCTCATAATATCACGCAATTCAATTGTTGTTGTTCGTGTGACTTTGTTGTATGTACATAGTGTTAATTTCTGTCAAATACTCCTACAATTTATTTTATTTGTATGTGCATAATGATGATGCATGAAAAAATCATTGAATCACTTAGTACGTTTAAATGTACTATAATTCTCTAACTCAAAGCTTTGGACTTAGCGCCTTCTAATAACGATACGATTTAAAAGTGAATCTTCGACGTATATATTTTATTACGTTGTTAAATATTACAATTGTTATTAATTAAATTGTATATTTTCCCAAAGATGACAAATAAGAGCTTTAATTCATAGTCGAAAGATTCCTTTGATTATTTAATAAACTGACAATTTTCTGACACGGAATTATCTTATCTCAGTAATTCAATTATTATTTATAACTAATAACTTAACGATTAGGATGACATTGATTGGCCATCCGACGAATTATTATTATCAGTGATTTAAATAAGATAAAAGAAATAAGTATTTGTAAGCTAAAACAAGTGATTGAGTATATAATCAGTGATATAGTAATAATAGTAATTTAGTGAATGTGTGCGAAAAGTAAAGGAAAATACTGGAAGATACTTCAACAACCAATGTTTCAACACATGGAATACACTGAAAACGTAGATACCATATATTGTGAATATTGTACAAGGTTCTATGATATAAAAATCGAACTCCACGTATACGATAATAAAAAAATAGAGTTTTCTTGAATACTTAATAAATTAAGTACCTAGATAATAGTAATTTAAAATTTTAATACCTGTTTCGGTATTTTTTGTGCTACTTGGAATAATAATCACCTTCATTTGATAAAATAAATAAAATGTCTCTCGCGACACACTTAACATGTATGAGTACATGTCTGTTTATTAAAAGTAAATTACGTAAATTTCTTAAGATAATATCGATTAAACATCCGAGAAATACTGGTTATCTAAAGTATGTTATCTACATTCTTCACTAATTGTGGTTATAAAAGGATTTATCAAGTACTTTTATTAGAAGTAAACATGAAGCTTTCCCCGTTTTACTTGGTAACCCTCCTGGGTCTTGCAACTGCTGCCCAAGAACGCTTCAGCTACGATGGGTAAGTAAGAATGATATAAAAATGGAGCTAGATAATTCCTAAAAACAAAGTTCTTTATCATCACAGTAGTATTGATAAACAGTTTTAAACTATTTAGCACTAGCTTCGTTAGTGAGTCCGGACCCGCAGGGCATAGCCCGAGAGCAACAAAGGCAAGTTAAAGATTGAAAGCTACTCAGCTCAAGCTTAGTAATTCTATAACTTATTGCGACTAAGTACGGCACATTTACTTACTGAATGAAATTCAAAATAGCACAGTTTTTGAGGTAGCTGAAGATGAACATAAGTGCGTATTTTACCTAAAACGATGTCACTAAGAACACCAGGAACTTCGTGCATATACTTTTTTTGTTAATAAGATTTTTCTATATAACTTTCTAACTATTATTAGAGAGAGGTAACATAACCTAAATCGTAAAACAAATTTAATATAAATAAAACTTTAACACAACAATTAATGTAGAATGTCTCAAATATTCAGCTGTAAAAACTGCAGTAGAAAGTGGAAATATTAATTTTTATCTTAAATGATACATTTTGTAAAGATATGTAATATATATGTATGTAATATTAGAAGGTGTATTAAGATGTTCTTAGCGACGTCTTAAATTAAAAAAAATAAGCTTATGTAAGAACATAATACAAAGAAAATGTTGTTTATTTGCTTTTTTTAAAGATAACTTCATCACTTTTAGAGATGTTTGAATTTGGTATAAGAGGATATTTAGGAATCGGACTTTAAAACTGGCGGAATTATCCTTAAAAAAAAGTAAAAAAACAACATTTTTGAAGGCGCGTAACTTTTTAATGAAGCGAAACTAAACCGAAGCTACCTTCATTTAATACGATTTTTTAATATATGTATTTTAAAGTTTTTTTAATAGACATTTTTTTTTCTTTCTTTAAGTGAAAATTGACTTGCAGACTACTCTCTCATTAAATGAAGTCAAACATTTTTTTTTATACTAGAAATCTAGGTAAACAAACGATATCTATTTATAACTGCTGATATTGCGATAAACAATCAGTCTGTCAACTACATTGTTGTTTCCCTCAATAGTTTTGTCTATAGTTTCTGGTACTAAAGAACATTGTTTGATGTCATTTGATAATATTTTTTTTTCTTTGAATTTGTTTATATTAGTCTACTACCTTTAACTAAATTAGTTGCTACTCTGAGTTTTCGCAAAATTAAATTTAATAAATAGACCAGGGCGGATCTGTCGAAATATCCCACTTTTGGATGTAAGAGGGGGCAAGCTAATGTTTGCTGGATTAACTTTAGTACAACTCACATAATAAAAGTGTGGATCCCTAGATCTGGGCGAGGTCCGGATCATTTTCAAAATTGCAAAATTTTTTAAACATTTTTGCAATTTTTAAAATGTTCCGGACCTCGCCCAGATCTAGAGATCTACACTTTTATTATGTGAGTTGCACTGAAGGTAATCCAGAAAAAATTTGCTTGCCCCTCTCACATCCACCTCAAAACAGCTCCTCCCTGGTCTAAAAATGTATATACGAATAGTTCAAGCTAGTTCATAAAAAAGATTAGTAATAGTGACAATACGATGTCATACACATGATTATATGATATATTTTGTATTGCATTAACTTTTATTAAGTTACTTTTGAATTTGTTTCGTTCAACACTCCCAACTCGAGACAAGTATTATGAATAATAAATTATAAAATCATTGGTTTCTGCAGAGTTCATCGAGAAAACATTGCATCGGTAGTTTAAATAACTTAGGAAGACAAAAATATATGCTGTTGACCAAGACGGCATCGAATAATTATTTTATAATGCTACTTATCGGCGAAGATATTTTTAAATCACTTGTATTTCAGTACTTGAATTGTAGTACCTACAATAGGTGTTGCACAATATAAGTAAATGCGCATTGCGCTGTATCAAAAATTTTGTGAGGAGTTTATATCTTTATATTAATTTCCCAGTTGTGGAGGCTCGAAATTAAAAATAAATACCAGACAAAATGATTTTTGCAATATTAAGTATACTTACATTTTGAAAGTTGAGGAATATGGGTAGTTCTGAAATTTGTTTTAACGTTCATAAATAAATAAGAACAATATCTAATTCTGTAATTGATATCTTTCAGGTACAAGGTGTACAGCGTTACTATCAATTCGATTCAGGAGGCGGAACTATTAGACGTCTTCAGTTATGATCAGCGATTCGACTTTTGGTCAAAACACCGAATTGTTGGAAAACCTATAGATGTTATGATATCACCAAGTGGTCAAGATGAATTTGAATCAACATTGAATTACCACAACATAAAGTTCGAAGTTATGATCAACAATTTTGAGGAGTAAGTGATTATTATTTTAACTCTCAGAATTACTTCTGACTTGTTTGAAAAATGACATACAAATTTTCCATACACACAAACGAAGTGAAATCGGCAGGTTATTCCCAAAGTTTTGGAATATTAAAACGTAATCTTATCTTCTTCGAAGAGAATCAAATTTTACTTCTTAAATCCTGAAATAGCAGGAGCAGATTTACCTATTTCAACTGTGGAAATATATTAGATGCAAATTACTGGGAGATAGCTCAGGCCAATAGAATGAATGTGGTTCTCAGCAGAAATCGCTTACAACTTCCTTTATTTGGCAAACAGTGTACGATTTTGCATCGTCGTAGTGAGTGGGAGGGAAGCTTGAACTAACATTCTGCGTTAATTGTGGTTCCTTTTGGCAAATAGTCTACCGAGATTATGCCGCTGCAGTTTCAAAGAACTATAGCAACTTCTTTACCACCAGAAACAGACACTGCGCGTGCTTTAAGTGAGAGTCGTTGTCCTGATCGTTGCTTTTCCGAATTTTGGAATAGAACTATTGAATCCATGTTTCAACTGTTGCTATCATTCATTGACAAAATACCTTAGATTTAGCTAACAGGTCTGGTAAATATGCTTTAGGGCCAATTTAACTTTTCCGGGATATAAGGTCCCGACCACCAAACGTTATCATATATTTAACAAAAAAAAATTTAGAAATTATTTTAATAAACAAATTATTATCAGACCACCTTCAGTCACTAACATTATAAACATGTTTAAAGATTGTCCAAAAATGCAAAAGTAGTAAATACGCTGCGACATTGTTACTAAAACCATTCTTCAAATTTCAGGAAAGTGCAGGCTCAGTACAATCGTCTCAAATCCAGAGCCAGAGTTGATTCAGGCGACGTTAGCTTTACAGAATATATGCGTCATGACGAAGTAAGTATTGAATTAAACGATTCTTATTAAAGTAGTATAGCTTGCCCAGTAGAAGTGATAAGAACAAATTACCTTTGCGCATCTGAAATTTGCGGACAAGATGAACTGGGTCAAGCTTTAAGTAGTTTTAAAAGCACTAACTCTAGTGTTTGCTTTATTTTGCTGAAACATGAAAATCGAACACAGAAATATACAAGTTATGTTTATATTTTCAAGCAAACTTTGTCTTTGTTCCTGTTTTCAAGAAATAAGATTGAACGGATATTTGTAAACAATTGTTATTAAGTTATCGGACTCTATTTTTTTAACATTAATGATAAACTCTGCGACATATATATTTTTTTCGGGTGATGTAATTACAAACACACTGAAAGAAATGGGCTTATTAAACTGTTTATCTAGAATAATGTGTATAGTGCATATTAAAACTTTTATAACCAATATACAACTTTTATTAAAAAAAAGCAATCATCTCCATACTCATTATTCAATCAGTTTAACTGGAAGGTGCTTAATACACCTTATGCATCTATAAAATAAAGGTTATAATGAATTACTTATACATTATTAGGTGTTATAGACTTTATATTCCAATTGTATAGTAGGGAAAATTTGTTGTATAAAGACCAGTATCCGAATTTGTATATAACAATTGTATTAACAGAATTAAGCGTTCTTATACTGAATATGTTTCCGTTTTTAACGTGTAAAACGCATCTTATAATGGTTAAGTGATCGTCACCTCTCGGTGCATAATCGGTTATGATCGTTGTTAAGTTGTATTCATAGTCTTGTAATAATAATCATATGTCAGACCCGAGAGCGAAGTGCGCCGACTCAATAAGAAACCTGGCTATTCCAGCCGCTGATTTAGGGTTCGCCGCACGAGCTCATCCCTTCTTCCCTTCTAAGATTTCAGTAGCATGCTATGCATGAAGCAGAACGGTACTGAACTATCTTATACAGTCCACTTTTATTGGCCATAGATGTTCAATCATTGTCAAAATAAACAGACAAAACCACAACGTCTTTATTATCTTTACTCAAGAAGAGAAAATACAATAATCGTAAAATTTCCAACAGTCCGCTGTGCTAGTTTGATGAAAATGGACAGTATATGTTTTGTGGGATACATGATCATATCGCGTTGTGTGAAATGGAAAATTACTATGTAAGTATCTAACTGTTTTATGGCTTGTAATTGTTTTGTTTTTTCAAATCTTAAAAATTATTATTTTGTAGGTCCTATTAGAAATCGCTGATGTTAAGTTTTACATAAGATGGAGGAACAGAAGGTTAACGGTGACAAAGAAAAGCATGGGTATAAAGTCAATCAACCAGAGGAAATAAAATTATATGGAAAGAAGCTCAACCTTTCTGGGAATGCTTCATTCTTAAAGTGGAAGAGTTATAGTGCAAATTCTCATGTAATACAAGAAAATACGGGTGCATCGTTGCTAAGAAAATAAACTGGACAGTTTTGGTAGCGATTTGTCATTTTTAGTACTTAAAAGTATAAAAGTATGTTTTATGTATGTTATGTAACCTTAGCTTGTAATTACAGTTATCCAATAAAATTTCTGAAAACTTAATGACATATGTTTTTAACTCATAGAGAGTATACAACAGTTTAATACATTTATTATTATAAAACTTATAACCAGTACTAGATGTTCTAATAACGATATGGAACACTTTAGTAACAGTTATTGCTATTATTTCGTAAAGGGTATAAAAAACGTTGTATACTATTTAGTTATACAATAATTTAATAAAGAATAAGGTTTATAGTCACTATACAACTGTGCTAGCAATAATATTCACCTGTTTAACTGTCACATATAGTATACAATGGTCTTATAATGGTATATAGAATTCTAATAAAGAATAAAACGCATTTCTTTCAGTGCATGAACATACAAAATCTCTTTATATAAATATGTAACTCGTAATAATTTAACGCTCTTCCTCCAATTTTTGCACAACGATTATACTTTAGACACACTGTAGATGTAAACTGTACATTCTCCATTCTTTGCAGAAAAAAACTGATCATTGATTTGAAAAGTCGTTACCAGTTAATGGCTGTTAGTGAATTTTGTTGTACAATTTTAGATAAACGCCTACTTGCGACGACTTGAGGCAGATTACCCCAATGTCGTCACCACAGAAGTAATTGGGAAATCCTTTGAAGGCCGAGATCTGCTCATCATCAAAATCTCAAGTGGCGGCTCTGATAAACCTACGATATTTGCTGATGCTGGTATCCACGCTAGAGAGTGGATTGCTCCATCTACCGCACTCTATGTCATTAACCAACTTGTTGAAGTACCTGAAAACAGTTATCTGTACGAAAATGTTGACTGGGTCTTTATACCAGTGGCCAATCCAGACGGCTATGAATATACCCACGATGTGGTAAGTATTAGTCAGCTTACGTAGAAAACTAAGAAAACTATTCGTAACAACACATTTTGAGACATTTATTCGGAAATGGTTACAAATAAACCAAAAGCCTGCTGCAGAAATGACACTTCACTATTTCTGAATTATCAAAACAACTTTCATTTTTAGTTTTATTTTATATACATGAATGACACTCGAAACATTAACTACATATGTAATACAACTCTGAAGTATAATTCCTAATATGTTAGTGCTTGAAACGTCTTCTCTATTAAACACTAAAGTTTCAAATATCCTCAGCAATAAAAATATAGGGGAATTAAGTGTCGAGAACTAGAAAGCCATAAAACAACAGCTGGACAAATTTCATTTGAGCCTGAAATGTGCAGATTAAAAAGAGTGCCTCAGGGCTCCAATGAATTTGATTTACCTGTAAATATGTTTAGAACATTACTTGACGTACAACAAAAGGCATTTCTTCAGGAACAATGCCAAGTAATTTTTTAAGTACAAATAATATTGTCCAGTTGGGCGATTTGGTTATATAAAACAGTTGTTCACGACGACAGTCCACATGTCAATTGTGAGATGATGTTGACTACTGGCGCATATTGTAGAAGTTAGCAACTTTCATTGGTCAATCGTTTTTGTTGAACATAGACTTCTTTCAAGTCGGATTCTATCGCATTTTAACTGACAACCACTCCCCCATATTCACCTGATTTAGCATCGTGCGACTTTTACCTTTTCGGAAAAATACATTTGCGATGAAAGGAAAGCGGTTTGTGGACGTAGAAGCCATCTAAAAGACTTGTACTGACATTATGAAGGACATCTCGGGCGACGATCTAAAATACTCATTCGACATGCTTTTAGGCCATGCCAATCACTGTATTGAACTGGAGGCGACTATTTTGAATAAAATAAATCGATTTTGCCAAAAAAAATTTTTGTTGCTGTTATTTTTAAAAAGTCCTAATTTCGAACGCACCTTGTATATTAATAGTATCCACCATTTAATGTGGATACTATTAATTAAGAAAATTGTATTAAAGTTCTTTCCACATATACCTCGATCGATCAGGTTATATTTAGCTCATTGCAATGCAAAGAAGCCTCTTGTCTTTAATTCCTTTCGTATGGAATGAAATGTAGTTCACTGATTCATACTGGCCCAAAAATCGCTTGACATTAATACTGATACATAGAATACATTGAGGACGGCGACAGGAAGGTTATGGTCCAGAGAATGTAACAAATTTTTACAAATAAGATAAGTAATAATACTTTCCACTTTAGGAACGTATGTGGAGAAAAACCAGATCCACTGGTACGATCTGCTTCGGCGCAGATCCTAACAGAAACTTCGGATACCACTGGGGAGCATCAGGATCCAGTACCTGGCAGTGCAGCGACATATACGCCGGTCACAGAGCTTTCTCCGAAGTAGAGACTCAAGCTTTAAGGGACTACCTCTCGGCTCACAGTCACCACATCAGCCTGTACGTAGCCATACACAGCTACGGTAACTGGGTTTTATATCCTTGGTCATACGCTGACCTCCTTCCTGATAACGCAGACGAACTCCAAACTGTCGGGATGCTCTACAACGACGCCGTCAACGAGTATAATGGAAATAGTTATATCGTGGGTAATTCAGCTGCGCTTTTGGGTACTACTGCTGGATGTAGCGATGATTATGCTAGAGGTGGTCTTGACATCAAACTGTCTTACACTTTGGAGTTGCCTGGAGGTAGTACAGACGGGTTTGATCCTCCAGAGTCTGATATTTTGTGGATAGTTGAAGAGGCTTGGGTAGGGTTTAAAGCGTGGCATGGGTATGTGGAGTCCTCTTCTGCAAATTCTTCTAAGTGAATTACTTACATATATTTATAAATAAACAGATACACACAGACAGTTCGAGTTACTTATTTTCGTATTACCTAACCTATTATGGAATGGACTCAAATCTCACTTCTCTGTTCACAAATCCGCAAAAAATACAACAACTAGACAATATACTTTTAATAACAAGTGAACAAAATGAGAAAATTTAAAACGTATTTCATCTAGACCTCGAACAAGTCAGCGGTACAGTGGTGTTAATAAACAGTATTAACACTTAACTAGGGTTTTTATCTCCCATTAAAAATAAACTCCAAAGTACACACCATTTAAATGATTTTTCTCCTTCCCGCTTCCTTCGACCTAACCGATATTTTGGCGCCGAGGTATCTTTTTAATATTATTATCTATGACTAACTACTTTTACTAACTACAATCCATCACGCTAATGCCGCTATTAACCACAAGCACCTAGTATCGTTAAAAGCATATTAAGGCAACTCCGAATCGGCAGAAGAGAAATTTCCTTTTAGACTGATAGCTGATGCACTCTTCTCTTGTTATGCGATAGCAGAGGATTATTAAATAATAATTATATTCATGGTAAAATAATTGATTTGATTGCAAAAGCGGTGAAGGTGATTAAACTGAATTATTACTTCGGTCTGTAAACTCTGATCATTGATCCTGCTCACTAGATCTGTATAACGGATGCTTATGCACATGTAAATTTGATGAGTAGCACGACAGATCCCGAAAGATTTCAAAACAGAACCAAATTGCTTCAACTACAATACAAAGTGACACTAAACTCTAAAAGCTTTAGAAAAACGTGTGTATTGTAACGTTGTTGAGTCCCTTGTTAATTATTGTTATATGTTTGAAGTTCTTAAAGTATTTAAAAAGAATTTTGAAATTATATTTACTCGCGTTTAGCCAATTTATTATATATTTTAACATTTAAAGTTCCTATGAAGATTAAGAATATTTCAAAAGTAGTGCCTTATAAATTTGATATCCTTGTATGACCTGATGATGAAGTGTAATCTTGAACTCGAAACTAGTCGTCGTATATAATTAACTTTACAATAAATGTTTGTGAGAGATGGAAGACTTTTCATATTTCCCTTTGGTAATATGAACTCACACTTATCTATTTCACGTTTATCTCAGGTTTGGAAAAGATTATAAAAAATTCCAAACAATCCTATTATATTAGTAATAATATAGTTTTACACAGATGTTGCAGTCAAAATTCACGACTTGTCTATGAATGTCGGAGAAGAGTGAAATTTTTGGGTGAAAACGCCCAAATGTATTTTTCCTAAATTTTGTCCAAATATGTAATGTCCAAAAATTAGTGCTTTTTACATATATGTCGTCAATTATATGTATATTAAAATGTCAGTATGGGTATACAGTAATTTTGATTTATCATTAAATTTGTTTTTAATGCAGTGGTAATAAAAATCATGAACAATTGTTTTCGAAATATCGAATATACTAAATCCTGCATATATAAGTTTATTAAATGTAATGTTTAAGCGTTTCTTCTCAATTATAACCATATATTTATCAAAAATTGTAAATTTGTCTTTAGTCATTTAAAATAAAAAAGTTACAGTCGTTTTCGTTTAAATTGGTGTCGTGAAAGAATTTGAATATAAGGCTCAATTTAAAGAAGTTTTGGTGTATATCAGATACCCCAAATTTCAAATTCAAGCTTTTTAAGTGATGGAGATATGCTATTTGAACAATATAACTGAGACACCCGGTATACGAGACAATTCTGTTATTAACTTGATGATCATAACTTGTGTTTTTTGTAAGGGCATTGTTCATTTCATTCAAAGGAGTTAGTTTACAAAAACTATAAACGGGAGAAAGGTATTAAAAAAATAATTGTGAAAGGTGTGTCAATTTTTAACATCAATCTTTAACCGATTCATTTGCAGAAAGAGCTTGTAGGAGCTTACACTATACTCTATGTGTCAATTTATTTTTCAGATTTATTATAGCTGCTAGTACAAAATTATTTCCTTTAATATCATAAATCCTATTTCCTTTACATGTAATAAACCATTTCAAAACGTTTTATTTCTTTATTAACACATATATTTACCCATTGTACAGTTCCTTTAGCAAACATAAATCAATAAAAATTATTTACATATTATGATATGGATTTTAAATTGAAACCAGAATTAATATTATTTTGCAATTGTTAATAAACTCAATTTATATCATTCGTATTTATGTATTGGGAAAATTAAACAACAATAAAGGATTTAACTGGTACTATAATAGTAGGATCATATTCGATGCAAAGTAATAAATCATTGCCTGTCAAGGGATCCAGTGACATTCGCTTTTAAGGGTTTTAGAATTTAAATAATTTCTTTATACATTATGAAGGGACGAAGGGATCAGTTCACGTCTGGCACTCTTGTTCCTACAAAAATTGCTTTATTCTCATAAACTATTTATTTTAAATGTAATTTATTATAAATCCAATTTGTTTTTTAATTTCCACATATGTACTACATTTTACCTCTGTACGCGCCACTGTTGTTTACTTGTTTTTTGGAAGCGCTCTCTGCTTTAGGATCAAGCTCGCCAGGTTAGTATTTGACGTATAATCGACCACTTCCTACACTCGATGAACCTGGGCGACTACAGCTACTACCAGAACACAATCGGTATGATGCGGCATTTCAGATTTAATATTGAATTTCATTTTAAATTTGAAATGATTCACCTTACGCCTCCTAAAAATGATGACACGATTTTCCTTTGATAAAAGACCGACAACTTTTTGCTTTACTTTGCATCGAATACGGTCCTACTATAGGTGTAAATTTATCTGAATTAAGCAATTTTATTGTATGTTTTTTCTAGAACTATGAGACTATTTTTATGTTTTGTGTCAATATTTAACTGAATCTTTTTCACCACTTCATTGTACTTTTTTTATTTTTTATTTTATTTTCTATTTTGTAAGATACAGTGCATTACATAAATATTAAATTGATTTAATCTGCTTAAGGACTTGAGAAATTATTACGTGAAATATTACTATCAATAAAGGGAATCAAATTTAATTCATAAATGCCTCACGTCTCCATTAACGAGAGGTATAAAAAGGTTTTTGTATTAATACTAGTATTCATATCCATAAGATTATCCCTAATTCTCTCTAGAAGGAAGCATGGTTTACTTAATATTTGAACACTCCGCATACCTACTATTTTATTATTTATTACAACTGATAAAGATGGCCATAGGTGAGTACGTAATGTCGTTGTGCTTTCCTCAATTTATTTATTTTTGGCTTGGCTTGGATCAATGTGAGGGATTGATAATTAATGAGATTTTCCAGGTTTGACCTACCGAATAATAATATGCCGCACCCTCTCCGACTTCTGGGATGATCACTGATATAAATTTTCTAAAGAACCTCGAATTATTTTCATAAAAATGTGAGCTCGGTCAAATTGAATGAAATTTTGATTAGTTGTTGGTTTTGTGTTAATGACAAGTCTCAATAGTACTTGGGTTCAAAAATCGATTCTTTTCTACTTATAGCGGTCTGAGTCAGGTCTGCCGATATTCTTCCAAAACATTATAGTGCATTTTGCATTTATTAAATAAGCAAACAAAAAATAATTCGCACGTTCCAAGACCTTCCTTTTTACCAAAAGCAAAAAAGCTCGTGTGTGGAGCACCAGTCATATATCTCTTAAAGGAATATGTTTCACGATACTATTGCAATGCACTGATTTTAAAAGTGATAACGATTATTTTTACAACTTCTACTTTCTATAAATGCTTGAGTAATACCACAATTAATATGAATCTGTTCAAATAAATAACAATAAACCGGATTGTACTTACTGACACAGAATTGATCATATGATTTAATGCTGCCATAAAACTTCCAAATGAAGTAATATCATATCTCTGTGGATGAATTTTTAAATCACCAGTATATATAAAACTAGTCCGACTTGCGTAAATAAATCATTTGAGAATATGAAGGGTTTAGTGATTTTATTATTATTTTTGGAGCCTCTCCTAAGTGGAGCTGTTACTAACTATGACAGGTAATTTGATTTTTTATTATACTATATTTAAAAATTTAACTTTATAATAATTAATATACAATTCTAAACTTTTCCAGGAATAATTCTATATGGGTTATTAGTAAAAAAAAATATTTATATTGCAGTGTAGAATTTGTCTACATATCTAGTTGAATGTCTCTCATTTATAAAGATTTTAAATGGTTTACGATATTCTTTCGATATCATTTATTTTCATTTTCAGTTACAAAGTGTACCAAGTTACCCCTCAGTCTATGGATGAAGCACTGGCACTGAAAACCTTTGAAAACAATGGTTACTTCGATTTTTGGTCGAGTCTACGATCAGTCGGTGCTCCTGTTGACATAATGGTAAATCCTATCGCTCAGGATATGTTTGAAGACTTTCTACAGAACTACAACATTAAATACGATGTTCTTATCGAGAATGTACAAGAGTAAGTATTATACTTAACATTAGGACTTACTGAACTCGTTATAACTTAATCAAAATAATCACATAGCTGTTGCATAATATAATATATGTATAATGTGTAGAGTATGTACTTTTAAAAACACTTTCTTTCACTTCAACAATATTTAAATAATATAAAAGTATATCTCTTTCTGCGTATTTCCAAAAAAAAATTACAAACTATTAGCTATTGCTTGACCAAATTCTTCTTGTAGCAGATTAAGAAGAGAACCTGTAATAGGAGTGACAAAGCTACGATATTTGTTAAGATAGAATTCCAAGAAGACCCCTGCGTAACTTTCTTGGAATTAACCGCATTGGACACCTGAGGTAGAAAGACATTGGCGTAAAATTTCAACGCACGCGTCTGCCGTGGTAAATTGATACAGTAGTTCTTGGAATTCTATCTCACAAATATTGTACGAACTGTTCCTTCCGTGCGAAAGTGTTACTTGGGGCTGAAAATTACAGTTATTTAATAAATATTTCTTGTAATATATTTTAATAATCATTTTTATATAAATCATTGATAACTGAACAAAATGAATTTGTCAAGCAACCAATAGTTACATTAAAAATTGTATAGTGCTAGTTATATAATTATTTTTTAATGCTCTTTACAGAACAATAAACAAGAATGTACAAGGAAGATCTAGTACGAGGGCGGTAGAACAGGGCCAGGTTAGCTTCACAGAATTTATGAGATATGATGAGGTAACTAAACTGATTCTTTATTTAAAATAAATCTATTGGAGTTTATATAAAAAATCGGCAACCTGAAAGTTGCAAGAGATAAACTTCTAAACAACTGTGCTAATTTCAGATGAAATTTGCCGCAGATTGATTATTTTTATTTGCATTATGTATGTACTTGTCAAAATATTTTTAAATATTCTGCAATTTCATTAAAACAATTTCTAATTATAGTAAATGCATACCAGACAACATATCTTAGTTATACATGTTACTCTTGTGTTTAATTAACTTCCAATGCAATTCGATTAGATTTTGTAAGATTTATTGAATTGAAAACAAAGCATAGGACTTCCCATTTTGTGTGAAGTCATTAAAGACATTGTATAATTCAACTGAAAACATCATGAATACTTTTTAATTTTTTCCATAGTCAGCTATTATTTTTAACAATACTTTTAATTTAATTACTGATTACTACTACTTAATTATTAATTAATTAATTACGTTCACCCATAAGTAAATTGAGAGTTATATGCCAGTTCTAATGGTCGCAGGCACAGATAAAATTGTGTTCTAACTGAAACTGATGAAAATATCTCAATGATATCATCGTTATATATGACCTTGATACACAGAATGATTGTTTAAAGAATATAAGAGCTACTTTCACTTTCTTCCTCGAAAGATACCCTGAAACTGAAGTTTAAGTCCCCATGGCTTGATGTCACTAACCAAATTTCTGTGACATGAAATTAGAGTCATGAAGTAAAGTCTTCGTCAAAATCTTCTCTCTCTCTTAATAGAATGGACTGCCCACTGCTGCAAATGCTCCAATTTCTTCTTTAGCTGACACTTGTGATCTTTTTACCTCATATTAGGTATCGTGTCTCCGTGTCTGTCGAATATAAATTTTGATATAGAACGCTCAAGGGGTATGCACTTGAATCTTGGAATTCATTCTTTCAGTTCATAATGTTATGGACCAGTATACACACGAAATACACAAATATCGGCCAGAAGACTTAATCAACAGTTTCAGAATTTTATCTTCTGAAGAAAGCGAAACGTTTCTTGTATCTAAGTCTATACCATTTGCACATCAACTAGTTCAGAAATGATTCCATCATAGATAACTGCTACTATTTACTCTCAATCTAATCGTTATATTTGTTAACCAAGTGTTAATTCGTCCTTAAAGTGTTACATGTCAATTGCCTAAAATGTATTGAACTACTTTGGTAAAATCAAACATAAATTAACTTCTTTTTAATTTTAAATATTCCAGGTGTTCAGTATCTGAAACTAAATTATTATTATTATTATCGGCACTTATTAAAACTGTATCGTATTCCTGTTTTCAACATACTAATGGTTTTCCCACATAGATTACAGCCTACTTGCAACAGCTTGCTGCTGATTACCCAAGTATTGTAACAACGGAAGTGGTTGGACAATCATTTGAAGGTAGGGATATTTCACTTATCAGGATTTCCAGTGGTGGAACAAACAAAACTACCATATTCGCTGAAGCAACTATCCACGCCAGGGAATGGATAGCTCCGCCTGTAGCTTTGTACGTCATCAGCCAGCTGGTGGAAAATTCTGAAAATGCTTACATGTACGAGGACGTCGACTGGGCCATCATTCCGGTAGCGAATCCTGACGGATACGAGTATACACACACTGATGTAAGTAAACTGAGCCTCAGTCCCTGTAAAGTTTTATTTTTACATTGTTTTAACTACAAAAATATCAAAATTCATTGTTTCGAATCAAATGCGAGCCAATAAAGTTCTTTTATCAGAACTACTGTAGCAATTTACTGCGGCAGAGGTGTCGAATGCAGTTAATTCCAAGAAAGTGACGCAGGTGCCTTCTTGGAATTCTATCTCAACCAATATCGCACGTACTGTATTTATAATGTACAAGGAACAAAGCTATTATATTTTAAGCGATACATCATTAGCAGAATAATAATTATTAGCATGTTACGTAACTTGTTATTTGCTTATCAGCTTATAAAAAATATAATAATAATCTACCCTATTTACTTTTAAACAAATGATACTAATGTTTTAATATCCCAATAAATTAATGCTCTTGACATACATCTTACCTGTATCACTTATAAATCTATAAAAGTATGTAATTACCTATCTTTTATCAGCAGATTAATGTAAATACCCAGTATTTGAACTGCTGAATACTTGTTTCGAAATATCTAGTACAAATCAGTATGTACCAACTTTCAATTTTACATAATGTATCCAAGATAATTCAGACAAGTCTAAATAATGTCTATAATTTTTATCCTCGTACTTATTATAAAATAAATAAAGCTAGTCATCAGGTCAAAATTTATTTAGGAATCATTTATATTTTACTTTAATATTTTGCTAAGGTCCTATTATACATTAGACATGTTAAAGAACTTTTAATTTTGTTTTATTTTTCGTAAGCAACCGCGTCATATTTTGATGTTAGAGAATTCTTCTAGTTCAAATGCATAAAATAAAAGTCTAATGTCATATTATTTGCAACAGTATGGAAATTAGTGTGCTGATAATAAGAACAAAAATTTAAAAAATTATTTTATGTAAATACTCCTTTAAGAGGACCATTGATTGTGTGGATCAAATCAAGTTAACAGTTACGTTGCCGATGTTCTTCGGAATGAATGGCCTGTATATGTTTCCGGATATTCTAGTTTCAAAAACTGTGTAATTTTATTAGGAATCATAGAAAGGGTATAATTGCCGACTGGTTGGTTGTAACATCTACCTGCTTGATAGCGCATAAAAAGCGTGAAATTTCTGTATTAATTTCCAATCTTGATATATTTATTGAGAATTTCTGGGTGAGAAATAGAACCCAAATGAGAAGTAATTGCAAACGTACGTGACATACCATTTTTAGAATCTGGAATTGTAAGTACTATAATGTCATTGAAATTTTTTAATTTGACGTTGTCCAAAGTAAGTTTGCATAACTCATCAGAACGGCATGCTCCTGCAATGCCTAAGACCGTCACTACCTTCATTAGCAAATATGTGTTATCGGGTGCCTGAACGAGAAAATTGTCGACTTGTTCTCTTGTAAAAACGTTTGACTTTTTAGGTGTATAGCCGTAATTCTTACGTTTCAAAAATGCTCTCAGCTTGGGGTATTTTGATATATTCTCGTTCTTCTCTATGAAAATAGTTGACAGTTAATGAGTATTCACTCCACAAACTCGCCGGTGAGTTTAAAGTTATTGACTTCTCCACGAAATATGCTAGCAGTGACATTTCAGAAACACCAGTATTTTTGTTCTGGAACTATGTAGCTTTCTTTATGAACGCCTTAGAAACGACAAAATCCAAACAACCAAACTTTGCAAGATTTCGAATAATGTCAAAATTAATTTATTAAGAAATGTTAAAAAATAAAACCTAATCTTTGTTTCATGAACCATAATGAACTGTGGAAGCAGATAAAATATTATACACCACGCAGCAGTTAAGTATAATTTACCAGTCTCGGACTTTACTGCCAGCCCTCGCTCCGCTCGGGCGCAAAATCGTCCTCGGCTGGAAAATAATACTTACCTCCCTTATGGTGTAAATAACTATTAATTATGTACATCCATCAAAACACTTAGGTAATTATGCGACCCATAAAAATAGTGATAGATACATTTTCTGAGTTTAAGACGACTATTTTTCAAATTTGATTTAAGAATCTTCTTTCAAGTCGTTAACATAACTTTAATCAGTTAATAAACGAAGCAGTATTTTAAGATAGAAGGAAATTATGATTTATAGATACATATTATGTAGAAATTAAAATACTTTTTCCCTGTGACAAAATGTGACTGACCTGAAACAGAAACCAGACCATTTTTCTCGAGTTTTCGACATAGCAAATCCAACTTTAGAGTTGTTCTGTCATATCAGGATTTAGAGATATCCTAACCTAAATGTGCGAAATTCACGTTTTTTACGCTATATTTGAGGTAATCAACAATTTTTCTTTCCAAAACTCGTTACGGCATCTGATAGTACTACTCTTTTTCTTCAAAATCCGTTTGAATAGTTCGAATACCTATTTTTCTCTCGGAAAAATCGTTTGTTGAATTTGGTGAGTTTGGAGTATTTGGACAATTAGTAGCATCAGGTAAAGACGAAAAAAAAATAATCAAATTGCAAACACATAATCTCCACAGGTTTTGAGATAACAAAAATATTATTTGTGCATGTTTAAAATTGCAAGTATTATCTATATCACCCCTTAAACTTTCTACGAGAAAGATGCTTTCTATTTTTAATGTTATTTCACATTTAAGTACCTTAAGCAATTTATAAATTCTGGCATAATTGCGACCTTTTGTTCGTTTCCAGACTCGTCTTTGGAGGAAGACCAGAACCCCAGGCACGATATGCTACGGCGTCGACCCGAACAGAAACTTCGACTACAACTGGAATGTAATCGGTGCCAGCAGTTGGCAATGCGACGAAACCTACGCCGGATATATACCCTTCAGCGAGCAGGAAACCCAAGCCATAAGAGATTACACTCTTGCCCATAAAGACGACATAAAATTGTACCTCGCCATTCACAGCTACGGACAATGGATGCTTTACCCTTGGGGACATACCACCGAAGGACCTGAAGACGAAGAAGAACTAATCGCACTCGGAGAGCTCTTCAGAGACGCCATCTACGCCGTTAACGGAACGGAATATGTGGTCAATAGTACTGCGAAGGGTTTGTACTATGCTGCAGGTACCAGTATAGATTGGGCGAAAGCAGTAGCTGGTATAGATTTGAGTTATACCATTGAATTGCCTGGAGGGGGTAGTGCTGGTTTTGATATACCAGCGGAGAGGATAGAAAGTGTTGTCGAGGAAACGTGGGAAGGTTTCAAAGTACTCCACGACTACATACAAAGGAAGTTTAATGATACCGATACTGACAATTAAATTGGTCTGAAACTAATTGCAATATTTGAATGAGGAAAGTTTATTAGTGTTTTTCCCTGACAATTATTGGTGTTTCCAATCATATATGATGAAATTATATTTGCATAATTGTAGCAGGTAATTATAGTAATATATAAAACACAGATATATAAAATTTAATTCGTTGTAACAATTACCAATTACCCACGAAAGAGATTATATAAATTGTGTTTCGAAAATTTACATATCATATTGTTGATTAAACTTTAACCGTATTACTATTAACGTGGGTTAATATTTAATATTTGTGGAGATATCCTGATTATACCGTCCTGTTAAAGAAATCAGTCGCTAATAATACTAGTGTTCTATAAAATGTAAAATGATTACGTTATTTATTTGTTTCAGTTAACTGTAGTATAATGCTAAATTTCATTTTTATTTTATAAGAAATCAAGGCTGCTAATATACATATATCCACGGATAAGTAAGTTCGTTTCTTTTTCTTAACTAATCCCTTACAACCTTTTCCTCATATATCAGATAAAGTTTACCGGAATTAAACGAAGTTCAGAATAGTGATGTCTAATTAAAACAAATCTCTCTTCGTACTATTTTTTATGGCAAGAGTGCATTGGAAAATTTATTAGACATACGTCAAAGTTATTTCTGCTTTTGTTTAATTGAATAGTCTTTGAACTTACAAATTTGTGCAGACAATGTACAAATTAGGTATTTGCAAAAGAAAATAATGTCGAGTGTCATTTTGATATGAAGGAATATCCACGTCCAGGAAGACATTTTGACTTTTACAAAGACCGTTTTAACTCTTTAATTCATGATGACCAATCGACCATAGTACAACATTTCATTGCATGGGCAAAGATCAGAAATTAAGAGTATGGTTAACGCATGTTTCGATGGGTCGTCGTCAATAACATCGACTGTTTTTGCGCCGAATTGTTACTGGTAATAAAACTTTACGTCAACGCTAAAGACAGAAAAGGATGGTTTAGCCCTAACAGAAATGCAACTTTCTCAGCAAAAACCTGATGCCTACCAACTTAAGTTGATGAGCATTTGGTGGGATAAAGGAGTCATATGGTATGAATTGTTTCGGGCAATGTCACCATCATTGCTGAGGTTTATCGCCAACAACTCCGTTGTCTTCAGAATTCAAGAAAGAATACCGACTTATTCTCCTCATAAACATAAAAAAACACACCACAAAAATGACATGAGATCATCAGATCGCATTTCCATCTTTTCCGCACCTGAAGAAACAGCCTTCTTGAAATGTCTTTTAATGATAGTGTCGCGCTTGGTGAATTGTTCCTTCTACTGGTTTATCAATAAAAAATTAATTTATCTTATTTAAAGCAAAGCTTAAGTAGTTTCACATCTAGTTTAGAGATAGGTACAACGAATTAGAAAGGTCTCTCCTTCATTACAGAAGTATCAATTACAGAGATAAAATAATTGGGCGTGATAAAATAATCTTACAATTTATTGTAGATTAAAACAGTATAAAATAGTAATTGCATGTTAAAATGTAATAATGTTATCATAACATTTTTATAGACGATATAAATATCCTCCCTTCTCATCTTTAAATTAATGTACAGTTATATCCAAAATGAAATTGTTCGTGTTGCATTTTGTGCTGACAATAATTGTCTCGGTATTTTCATACGATTCTTCTAAATACAGTGGGTAATTGCTTACACAATCCAGAATGTATTTGAAGGTAAACATACACTTTTCTTTAGATATAAGGTGTACCAGGTCACACCTAAATCTTTGTACGAGGCTTACATTCTAAAAGAATTTGAACATGATGAACATTTTGATTTCTGGACCGAAATACGATCGATTAATTTACCTGTTGATATTATGGTGTCGCCGTTAGCTCAAAATAATTTTGAAGCAATTATGAAGTCAGCGAATATAGATTATTTCGTCAACATTGATGATGTCGAAGCGTAAGTCATTACAGTTTGTAATTTAATGATTCTAGTGTGCCAATTTTTATATGTATTCAGGAGCTTGCAAAATGAAGAGAACACCTCAGGAAGGAGCATTGTAACAAGAGGAAGTGTTACGTTTTCGGATTTTATGCGTCACGATGATGTAAGTAAAAATATCTGGAATTTGCTACATTCAAAGCCCCAATATTTTTTTTAGATAAATGCATATTTAGAACAACTGGCTCAAGATTACCCCCAAATAGTGAGTATAGAATCGATTGGAATATCTTTCGAAGGTCGGGACTTACTCCTTGTGAGGATATCAAGTGGTGGTTCTAATAAACCAACAATATATGTCCAAGCTGCTATTCACGCCAGAGAATGGATTGCCCCACCTGTGGCGTTATATATTATTAACCAATTAGTTGAGAATCCCGACAATGTGAATTTGTACGAGGACGTCGATTGGGTTGTTATTCCAGTAGTGAATCCTGATGGATATGAGTACACTCACACAACAGTAAGTAAATGGTTCTTTTTTAAATTGAAAATTATTGCAAACGTTTTATATTTGCCATTTTGCGACTTGTATTTTTATCCTTAAACTTATTCTAGTTGCCTTTTATCTTTAGCATCCTTACCAACCGCATCTTCCCATCTCTTCTTCTTCTGTTACTTCTACTTAGTCTAAAGATAATTTATTTTGCGTTTATAGTATGTGCAACACGTACTTGATAATCATGATATGTTTAATTGAAAAACTAAGATTTGTTTTAAAAACGAAATCATGATTTGTACTTTTAGGAACGATTTTGGAGGAAAACTCGATCAACGGGTACAATATGCTACGGCATCGACGGTAACAGAAATTTTGACGCTCTCTGGGGTACAGTTGGTGCCAGCAGCTGGCAATGCGACATCACTTACCGAGGGCATAAAGCCTTCAGTGAAGTAGAAACACAAGCAGTTAGAGATTACATTTTAGAACACAAAGATGACATAAAATTGTTTCTTGATGTTCACAGCTTTGGCAGATGGCTCTTGTATCCATACGGATACAGCGATGACGAGCCTGACGATGTAGAAGAACTTCGAACCTTAGGAAGGCTATTTAATGATGCTATACACAGCGTAAGAGGTTTAAACTATACCGTTCTCAGTTTTGCCAGTGGATTGTACTATGCGTCCGGAACGAGCGTGGACTGGGCCAAAGATATTGGAATAGAATTGGCTTATACCATAGAACTACCATCAGGTGGTACTGGTTTTGATCCACCTTCTTCTGATATCGAGCCAGTTGTGGAGGAGACTTGGGAAGGCTTTAAAGCCTTTCACAGCTACATTGTGGATAAATTTGTTACTAATTAATTTAAAATTGTATTAAATCATCAGATAAAATTTGTACAGTATTAATTTATTTATAATCATTTATATTTTTAAATAATACAAATACCTACTTTTTTAATCTGCTTTTAATAATGAATAAAGTTAAAAGCAACTAAGAAATTGAATAGAATAGACCCTAGTACAACATCTGGTACAAAGTGTGATTGAGAACTAACCAAGAAGTTCATGATTACTTCCAGATCAACGCAGATCTTAACCCTAAAATAAAGTGATTAAAATCGAATACAGAAAGGAAATACTATCCTAGAAATTGAAGTAACATGCAATAATGTTACATTACAAAAAAAAATTATCTCATATACGTTTTATCCTGTCGCCCTTGTGACAAATTCGAATGGTTAAACATTATTTACAGAAAATTTGCCATTAATAAATTCTAAATTTGTTTTATAACTTGGTATACATCAAATTGAAGGCAATTACGTAAGGTATATGTAACTAACTTCAGAAAATGTTAATTCATAAAATAACATTCATCTATATAAATTTTCAAACGAAGAAGAACAATATTTGCATTGTATTATCTACAGGGTGTTAAAAAAAAGTGTAAAATATTTAAGGAGGTAATAGTATGAACCAAAAAAGCAGAAAAGTCTCAATAAACATGGGTCCGCAAAGTAACGGTTGCGGAAATATGGAATGTTTTATGTTTTTTAGCCCCTTTTTTTATTTTGCAAAAATGTTGTGTATTTTCTTATAATAGTTGGTTGATGTTTAGTGAAATAAACAGTACGTATTTGACAGTTGTTCTCAGTGCACAAGTTTTCTTTCGCTATGGCTGGTTACTCTAACGCAGAATTAACAGACATGCATTTCATGTATGGTCGTGCTAATGGGAACGCCACCGAAGCGCGACGTCTTTATGTTGACGCTTATCCAAATCGCCAGATTCCTTCACAACGCATGTTTGGAAGAATTCACCAAAGATTGCGTGATACCGGTTCCTTGAGCAAACAGTGCCATTTATCCGGAAGACCAAGGTCGGTATCCACTCCTAGAGCAGAAGAAGAAATTCTAGCACTGGTAGAGCAGAATCCAGGTACGAGTGTGCGGAGAATATCAGCCGAGGTAGGAATTAGTGGTCCTCTTGTTTGGAGAATCCTTCACGAGCAACTGCTTTATCCATACCATGTGCAACGAGTACAGGCCTTAAATCCAATAAATGATCATCAAGCACGTTTGGTTTTTTGCCGCTGGTTTCTACGTCATGATGCTGAAGACCCTCGTTTTCTTGCAAACATTCTTTTTACTGATGAGGCCGGGTTCACAAGAAATGGAGTGTTTAATTTTCACAATACGCATATTTGGGCCGACGAAAATCCTCATGCTCTAATAGAATCTGGACATCAGGCACGTTTTTCATTAAACATTTGGATGGGTATTGTAGGTGACAGGTTTCTAGGTCCTGTTGTTTTACCAAACCGATTAACAGGCGCTGCTTACCTCAACTTTCTGCAGAACACACTGTATGAGTTTTTGGAAGACATTCCTTTGAATCAGAGGCAACAAATGTGGTTCCAGCATGATGGTGCTCCAGCTCATTTTTCCATGGCCGTTAGAGAGCATTTACACCAAACTTTTCCACATAGATGGGTAGGAAGGGCCGGACCTGTTTTATGGCCTCCAAGATCGCCTGATCTGAACCCTCTAGATTTCTTTGTTTGGGGATATTTGAAGACATTAGTGTATGGTACTCCTGTAAATAGCCTGGAAGAGCTGCAGCTACGGATTAATCAAAAGTGTCAAGAAATCCAAACCAAGGAGGGTGTTTTCGAAAGAGTTCGAATATCGTTGAGACGAAGATGTCGTGCCTGCTTGGAAATGGACGGAGGGCACTTTGAACATCTTCTGTAACTTTGTTTTTTGTTTGTTAAAAGCTTCCTTTGTCGGTATATTCCTAATAAAATAAAATGTTTGAAAAACGAATAGTGGTCCATATCTCCGCAACCGTTACTTTGCGGTCCCATATTTATTAAGACTTTTCTGTTTATTTTGGTTCATACTATTACCTCCTGAAATATTTTACACTCTTTTTTTAACACCCTGTATATCTATACATAAGATTTAAATTTGTAACCGCCTTTTAAATGGGACTATGTGTGTATAACTGGTTGTATAATTTGCGTTTCAGTTCATTAGTTATTTTTAATTTTTAATCTATATAGCATTTCCTTAAAAAACGAAAACAAATATTTTGTATCAATGAAGCAAGAAATAGATGTCGTTCGTTAGGTATTTGATATGATGATTTAGCTTTAAGTAAATTATAAATACTGACATCTTTCTAGGATTAAACTTTTAGTTTTATCCCAAATACAATTTTAATACCTAATTTTGTAATTTATTGCAGATTTATTTTATCACAAAGAAATTTATCACAGGATTTAGACAAATAAATTTAATCATATTATCGGTACGTCTGTGAAACATCACTTTTTGGACTGATTTATTGACCGAAAGAGAATGACTTTAAAACCAATCTATTTCTTGACATTAATATCTCTAACAGCATCACAAGATTTAACAAATTATGAAGGGTAATATATTCATTCATATAAATGTAAATATTTAATTTCTTTCTTATATTTTTAGGTATAAAGTATATCAAGTGGTACCAGAAACTCTTGATCAAGCCAGTTTGATAAATAAATTCCAGTATGACATCAATTTTGACTTCTGGACCGAAATTCGCTTACTTAACGCCCCTGTTGATGTTATGGTGGCACCACTTGCTCAAGAATCCTTTGAAGCTGTACTGAATACGGAAAATATAGAATACTCGACACTCATCGAAAATGTTGAGGAGTAAGTAGCTCTTATATCTCGTATATTCAAATCGCACCAAGCTTTTCAATTATTCATTTTAATAGGGAATTCAAACAAAATCTTGTACAGTAATTATCTGTTTTGTTGAAACTAGTGATAAAGCTAACCTAAGATTGTCACAATTTTAAAAATTAAACTAAAAAGAAGGGAGAAAATAGACTTATGATTGGCTTCAATTTTTCGACACTTAGGTAGGTAGTGCTGCACATAAAGAAAAACGGAATATTTTAATTCTAAGAACACATGCTTCCTAAATAAACTAAGATATTTATGGTGCTGTTTTGTAATTTTCGTAGGGTCAGGTCAGGTTTTCTGTGACATTTTAAGTAAATGTGATTCATATGTTTTGCTATATTACTGATAACATTTACTAAAAAAAAATATCCTCGATTGTATATTATAATATTATATATTATTTACAATTATAAAAATTATCTTTCGATATAATATGATACGATTTATAGCGGTGGTAAAAAAATTCCATGAAATTAATGTAAAAATTCAGTATTTTCCTATTTACTATTAGAGCAATCAATTTTTCATTACTTAGAAAAAGTAGAGTTTGGTTACTGCGACTTCACTTTTAATGACACCCATATTCATATAGAAAACATATAAAATTCAGTCCGCTTAAACACTGTGGTTATTCTGATGACCCACCGCTTACAACGACGTAATTTTTAATCATTTTATTCGGTTGTTTAGTTACTAATACCCTGTATAACAAAAGTATTAATCCCCAAAACCCTACCCTACTGCAAAACTCACATGACACATTTGGCACATTTGCCACCCTTGCAGGTAATATCTTGTTTGGATATATGAGTATAGTAATAGATTAATTTTATATGTAATAATTCAAGAAGATACATTTTATTTTGTACTAAGAAAATAATGGATTTCAAATCAATAAGTACTTAAAAATATAACTCAATGTTACATTTTTGAAAGACCAAACAAGTTTTTTTTAAATGAGAATACAGTGATATAAAGTTTCATAGCTCCATCACTAATAGTAAAGGAAAAATTGCTAAACAGATGCGCTACAAGCTAAATTTATTAGAAATAGATTATTGCTAGACAATCAAATCCTACGTTTATGCACACTCTTTTAGACATGTTTCCAGTATATATTAGAGATATACTTAAGAAATCTCAGATCACTATAATCTTGAGAAAGCGTTTTATCAAATATATAAATTAGGGTGGCCCAAAAAAAAACAATATTTTTTTTTCGTGTCTCTTGTGAAAATATGTTAGTATATCATGTTTTAAGAGCCCCCTCAAAAAATCAGCTCAAAAAATTTTTTTAAAAGTCGCTCAAGATTTTTAAAAATTTACAAAACCGTCAAAAATTGAATTTTTTTTATTTTTTTTCTCGTAACTTTATCGTTATCTAGGTTGAAAAAAATCTCGTTTCTGAAAATTTCAACTTTCAATTTCACTAATAATTATTTTAACTTAAAAAGTAGCGTACCTAAAATGTTTTCGAACGACCTCAAAAAATAAATATCAACGAACTAATTATTTTTTTTATTGAATTTGATGAACAAAAGAATAGAAATAAATCACGACACTTAAAAAATTTCCTGAGGCAAAATTTACTACCGCACTGTGAGTATCAAATATTTATATTTTAAAATTTAAGTGTCTCGTGATTTATTTCTATTCCTTTGTTCATCAGATTCAATAAAAAAAATTATTAGTTCGTAGATATTTATTTTTTAGAGGTCGCTCGAAAACATAGGTAGGTAGGTACACTACTTTGAAAGTTAAAATAATTATGAGTGACATTTAGAAATTAAAATATCGATTTGAAATTTTTAGAATTGACATTTTTTAACCTAGAAAATGATAAAACAACGAGAAAATTTTTTTTTTTAAATTCAATTTTTACGATTTTGGAAATTTTTAAAAATCTTGAGCGACCTCTAAAAAAATTTTTATTGAGCTGATTTTTTGAGGGTGGACATGATAAACTAACATCTTTTCACAAAGGACACGAAAAAGAAAATTTGTTTTTTTTAAGGCCACCCTTGCATTTAAATAAGTACTATTTTGAAACAAGGAAATTACCTAAACCTACCATCATATTTTTTCTAAATAAAAAACTTTAGAAATAAAGGGGGTAAAAAGGGTATACAATTTTGTGTATTATATCGCCACTTCAGTGCAACGCGATTTCACTTTAACTGAATGTCGTTGTAATTCGACTGTAGTAATTCTAAATATATTAATTTAATTAATATTAATAAAGATATATCTATGTATTCATGGAAGTTTACCTCTCTCGTCCCAAATTTACCACGTGAACATAAATGCATATTTAAATAATTTTGATTATACCAAAACTTATTTTCTGGATTATTGATGTAATTTCAATGAAAAAGAAGTATTTCTTCAGAAAAATGTACCTATACAATGCATATACATTAAGTCTAGCATACCTACACGACACTGGAGGTTTTTTTATAGAGAAGATTTAAATAAACTAATAATTCTTATTTACAGGACACTTCAAAAACGTAATCGTAGGAGAAAAAGAGCAACTGTTGAAGCAGGGAATGTTACTTTCACAGAATTCATGCGTCATCAAGAAGTAAGTATTTTCAGCACCGGAAAGGCCATTATGACATGTTTTTAACGTTATGTTACACCTACAGAAATTTCCCAGCCAGTACTGTATACAATATGCCCGCGGTTAGGGTGAACAAGAGGAAAAATTAAAAAAAAAAATAAGGTAGTTTATTCCCGTGACATTTTCAGATTTTTTTATTTTCTGGACACCCCGTATATGAAACGTTAAGTTTCCCATGGCAACCTCATTTTAAATTCAAGCAAAACTTTTTATAAAGTGTGCCTTTTTTCCGTAAAATGTAAAATAAAAAAGAAACTGAAATTGACTAACTTTAACTGGTGATATGTTGGAGAGAACAAGTCGTGACGGGACAATCGAAAAATGGGTTTAAATAAGAGAAATATTTTAAGTTACCTTACACAGTGTTAAATAAAAAGATATCTGTTGGTGTGAACAATTGTCAAAATAGCCTTCTGTACATTTATATTTACATATTCGCTAGTAGGACCGAAATATTACGCGGCATATGAATGTTTTATCAAAATTCCTATAAAAATTAGTTTTTTTTATCTTCTAGATACTCGCATACATACACCAAGTGGCAGCAGACCACGCTGACGTGGCAAGCACCGAAGTAATAGGCAAATCTTTCGAGGGTCGAGACCTGACCATTATAAAGATATCAACTGGGGGTTCAGACAAACCAATAATATATATCGAGGCAGCGATTCATGCCAGAGAGTGGATCTCTCCACCTGTAGCTTTGTACATAATAAATCAGCTCGTCGAGAACCCTGAAAATTCGGATATGTACCAAGACGTCGACTGGGTTATTCTTCCGGTAGTGAATCCCGACGGGTACGAATATACCCACACGGATGTGAGTGAGTTTTCTACTAATTTCTGCATTGATTTACAGAAACTATGCGTACCTACTATGTGGAAAAGGTTATTAGGTTTAAATAGACCAAAGTTTCCAAGATTTTACACAATTTTATTGAGTAAAGTTGTTTAGATTAGAAAATCTAACTTATTCACTCAACGATCCAGCTAAAAAGAGTGTCTAATATCTTCTAATAAAAAAATTCACAAATGGTGCGTATATTTTCTGCCTGTCACTGTAATATTTCCCGCTATTTCATGTACCTACCTGGAACATCGAACTAGCAGAGGTTCTGTGGCCAAAACAAGTCGATTTAAACTTACTTTTATCCAAAGATGGCAAAAATGTTTTTTTTTAAATAACTTTAATGCTTGGTCAAATTTAAATAAAATTTGGTTAGATAGTACCTGTAGGTACATGTAGATATCACTTTTTTACATGGAAGTAATTGCACTTATAGTAATGGGAAAATATTCGCACTCCTAATCAAATTAATTCAATTTTTTTTTAAATTGTCTTTATAACTTTTGTTCTTATTTTATCATAAGGCTAAAGGTTTTCCAAGTTCCTATTGTAGATTTTTTATTCTCTCGTAATTCATTATTTTATTGTCAATTTCTATAGAAACCTTATTTATTTACAGTCAAAAATTTAATTTACTTGAAAATAATAATGAATTCATGTAGTTCGGTGACTTGTATCTAATATTTCAACATGAAAATAATAGAATATGCTCGCCAGTGGTACATAATTCAATTGAAGCAAAAATTATTATATTATTTACATATTTCCCTCATTCTGCAAATTGTGAACAGAAGTTTCACGTCGAAATGTAATTAAATACTCCTCAAAAATAAGAATAAATCACAAATATAAAAATTTGATATTTATACCTAGTTTACAAAAAAAAAGAGAAATCCGAGATAAATACAGTTGTCACCTGTTTTTGGGTGAAATGTATTTTTAAAAATAGTAAATATTCCCAAAAAAGTGAAAGTACCTGAAATTTTCTGAAATCCAATAAACAATATTTGGTTTTTATTATCAAATATACTCTATATTTTGTGATAACTAAATCAGATTTATAATACATTGTTGATAGCAGCTAAAAAAATAATTAATTAAGTTAAAACTGTTAGAAATACAAAAACTTGCAAGAGAGAAGAAAAAACTTAAAGTCCTTAAATAATTATTGCAGAATTCGAATTTAAGGTGTAAGTTCACCTATAAAAAAATTTGATTAGTGGTTCCCATTTCTGTAAATGCAATTATTTTGTTTGTATTCGAAAACAAGCCATAATTTTGAATATCGAGGACGAGACTTGTATTCATTTTCCTACGTTACTGACATTCAGGTATTTTATTATGTATCACAGTTAGGTATGGGAAAATCGTAAAATTTAGTGACCGTATTTGTTTAAAGGCGAACATATAAAATTATGTCAGGTTAAAAATTTGAATCTTCAAGATGTATTTGCAGTCTATATACAAACTTTTGTCCTGAAACTCCCATCAAGTGACATGAAATTATTTCTAGGAAAGTTAGAGTAAATACCACACTTGTGGTTGTGCGATTGGATGTAAAATAGGACAGTATCTTTCCTGGAAATGTATTTGTACAATTTTGCAAATTTTTAGATTACTACATATTTTTATTGTCAACTGTTGAAATACTTCATGATTTATCCTGTGAAATTAAATTTTAATAACAAAAATATTATTTATACGTATCTGATCTAATGAAACGTTTGATAATATGTACATATATTTATTGGCATTAATATCTAAAGGCAATTTTATTGATGCCATTAAATTATTTAAAGAGAATTAAGTTTTGTGGCAGTGATCACTAAATCTACTTAAATTCAATTGGCCTCGTCTTGATTTTAAATTTAATTTGGTTTAATTTTTACATAAAATGCTCTCGTTTGACCCATATCTACGCCACTGATGATAAATGAAGTATTTTAAATTATAACTGTTTACATTATTGTTGTTTTGTAACAATTATACTGTAAACATACTTTTTTGTGTACCTTAGTTAAAAAATTATTCGTAAACAGTAATAAAATACATGTTTATAGTATAAATTGTTTTTTATCGATACGGATATATTTTTTCGAATAATACATATGATTAGGATGTAATTATTGCATCTCCCGATAATGTATTTTCCCCACAAGTAAGAATACAAGTAAATTACTTACCAAACTTGGCTCCCTCAGGTCAGAAGAAAACAATGCACCACAAACAATAATCACAACACCAGTAAACAACACAATAACAAACGGTAATTCCCTTTAGATCTAATTAAACACTTAATATTTGCATAGACTCCAAAGATACGCGACTAACTGCCGCATCGATCAACCCGTACAGAAGTTTACAAAAACTCGCACGACTTTTTGTTCCCACAATTCGTGAAACAGTATCTGACAGGAAATTTTTTGTTTGCGTATTTATTTTGTTTACCTTGCACTCATACATTTAAATGTTTCAAGATCACTACGATCCTTCGATGCTTATATTAATGTAATACTTTTGTAGAAAATTAAATTTATTAAAAGAATTAATAATTTTATTATATTTCAATGGCATAGGAAGTCATGTTCTGATTCACTTAATAATTAATAAATTATTGATATACAAAGCTAATAATAAATAAACGTTAATTAATTAAATACAAAACATATGTAAATTTAGTATTTGTTTTATAGTCTATTTCTAATATGTTTACAATGTAATGGCGGTTTTCCACTAAACGGATAGTTGAGTTTATGTCCTGTTTGTGTTTTCTAGAACAAAACAAAAACAAAACTGAAGGAAACCCAAAACTCTTGTTTCCATCAAGCGGGCTACATTTTGTTCGAGTTTTGTTTTTGTTTTCAGTCCTTTTCCACTGGTTGTCGCGAGGAAGTCAGAACACATTTTTCCAATAACCAGCCAACATGTTTGGAGAAGATTTTTTTTTCTTAGTTATGGCTGGTTTATACTGAAGTCCTTGGAAAAAAAAAGTGTCTACGGAGTGTCCCACCTCGAACTCCATCGATGGATATCTGGGAAACCGCTCTAAGGATTTTTTTGAAATTGTGGTGCTCCGGAAGTCGATACTAACTTTCTTATTTTAAATGGAACCCCCTGTATACTATTGCATTTTTGGAAAGAGCGTCTATTTTTAAATTGAAAACATATAGCACACTCCATACTTAGGATTGACCGTTTCCGAGATATTTCGATTTTTAAACAAAAATTGACAGATGCAGACTGTCAGCAAAATTTAATTTTCCCGGTTTATTTTTTTGTGCAAATTGGACATTTTGTAGAGAAAGACGTACTTTATCGAATTTGACATGAAAATTTTCCAGTTTTTATACAGGGTGGTCAAAAAAAAATTATTGAATATGAATTTCAGAATATGTGGAAAACTCGAAATTTTTAAATGGAAACCCCTATTTTTTTGCAATAATATACAGGGGGTTCGATTTAAAATAAGAAAGTTAGTATCAACTTTTGATATAACCGGAAATATGATGACCTTGAAAATATTTTAGCTTGGTAGGCTCCACAGTCCGTATCACGCCATCACAATTTCAAAAAAAATCCTTCGGGCGGTTTCCCAGATATCCATGGAAGGAGTTCGTGGTATATGTACGGTTAAAATGTTTACTTGGTTAGTTTGAATCCTAGCCAAGTAAACACTTTAACCGTAGGTACACATATATATTTTTTAATAGCTATAATTCATTAATGTTTAAAATATTGTTTTTGGGAAGAAGAAAACGCCAACATAGATATTGGGTTGGATCACTTAAATAGAAAATACAACACGGCCGTTTCCAGTAAACAGACTTGAGTTTCAAAACACGTCGAAACCTTTTGATGTGACCGCTTTCGAGCGGGACCCAAAAAACAAAACACCAACTGTCGCAAAACACGCCAGTCTTCAAAAAGTTTGTGAAAAGTTTCAGTTTTGTTTTATTCAACACAAGTTTGTGTTTTGTTTTTGTTTTGTCCGTTTAGTGGAAAACCGCCTTTACAGTGCGAATGATACAGTGTTGTCAGGTTGTAAATTTTTTCAAGATATTTAGGAAAATTAATTCTTGATCGTGAGTCGTCAACTGAAATGAATCTCATTTTATGCAAGTACCTTTTTTATGCAAAATATGGTATATTTTCATATCTTCGGTTCAGAAAGTAGAAAAAATTGCGTACAAAAAAAAATTGCAAAATTTGCCCCATGGTCCTGCATTTTCTTACGCCCCTGTAGCAAAATTTGTTTTGTATATTAAGCCGATTATTAAGCATATAAATAGTAATACAACCCCAAAATTTCGTGATTTAATATAAGAACGTTTTGAAGTTATGCAATAAAAACTGTTTCCTGAGTTACCACTTCAAGGGGCTGTATCTCCCTTAGGTGTCGCCACTGACAAAAACTCTACTACGGGTTTCATCATATTTCGACATGTTTTACATACTCTCCAATTTTGAGTACTTATTTCGTTAACACCTTGTATATATTCTTTTCAGGTGCGCCTCTGGAGAAAAACGCGCACACCAGGTACCATCTGCTACGGTGTAGACGCAAACAGAAACTTCGATTACCAGTGGATGGTTACAGGGGCTAGTAACTGGCAATGCAGTGAGACTTACGCTGGACACGTTGCATTTTCCGAAGTGGAAACACGTACCGTAAGAGATTACCTTCTGGCGAATACACCCAACGTCAAGCTGTTCCTAGACTTACATAGCTATGGGCAGTGGCTGCTGTACCCATGGGCTTACACATCGGACCTTGTGGAAAATATAGAAGAACTTCATTCTTTGGGAGACCGAGTAAATGACGCAATTTATGCTGTTAGAGGTACTAATTATACTGTAGGTAGTTCAAATGCAATATTGTACGCTTCATCTGGAGGTAGCAGAGATTGGACCAAAGCTGTTGCAGGCATTGATCTCGGATACACTGTCGAATTACCTAGAGGAGGGGATTCTGGCTTCGATCCGGATGCTTCGGATATCCTACCGGTGGTGACTGAGACTTGGGAGGGAGTTAAAGTGTTTTACGAATACGTTAGAGATAAATATGTTAACTAAAGACATCTTGTGAAAGTATGTTGTTCTAAATAAAATTATCTTTCAAAAACATAAAGAGACAAAATACCTTGAATCTTTTCTACGCATGCTAATAAGCTATTAGCTAGCCGTACACCAATGCATTTCTTAAATGATTTGATTCGTCAGGAAAAAAATATCCGCATCAATTTAATTTGTGTTTAAATAAGTTCTATTGAGGATCAAATTCTACAAATATTAGGTACTTAATAAGTGGAGTTGATCCCTTCAACAAATTAACCTAATCATTAATACATGCAATGTACAGACCTTATGCCCGTTTGCACCGTAGTGTTTATTCCAGGATTAAGTCTGATCTTAGATTAAAATATAACATTTTGTTTGCACCGTTTCAAATATATGTATTAATCTAGGATTAATTTAAACCCTCAAATTTGACCGCTTAAACTTGGATTAATGAGAAAATATAAATTGACACTATTGATAGTACTTTGCTGCTAGTTATAATTTTTTTAAATAGCCATTTCTTAATTTTCCTGTGGACTGTGTATGAGTGAGTGGTGTTAAGACATCATTGAGAACTTTGAAATGGATTCAGATTCTGACTTTGATGTATTGGATGATTTTGATATTCATAAAATTATAGACTTTGGATTTCCTAGATATATTAGAAATGATCTATTTCATAATCTAGACAATATGACTTTTTCCGCAGATTTAGGTTGACAAAAGAGACCACATTACATCTGATAACTTTAATTGAAGAGGAGTTGGAATATCCAACTGATATGTAAGTTTTACGTATACGTCGGCATGAATACGTTGCAACTGGCAATCAGAATTTTGGAGTTGAAATAGTTAGTGTGCAACATGAGTTCTATAAAATTGCATCATTTCCTAGAGTGTTAGGTGTCAATGATGGTACTCATATTAAAATTTTGGTTTGAGAATTTGACTTTGACATATTTTTTCCGAACATAACTGGACATAAGTTAGCAGCCTAATAAAATCCCTAAACAGTATTCCTAAAGCCCAGTTTAATTTAATTTACAATCGGCAGTAAGTGGTGCAAAAGCTGATTATTAACACTTAGTTTTAAAATTAAAGTTCAGTTGAACTTGGCTTAAATTCTAAACGGTGCAAACGGGCAGTGAACCAACTAAAAAAATATAAAAAAATTATCGTAATATGAGAAAATGTTTTCAATTTTTGGTATTTTTCATTTCTTTCTCTAAGTAAGCGTTACAATTACTTTAAATGTTCCCTTCTTGGATTTTCCAAATTATCGCAGTTGCATTATCCACTATTTTTCCTAAACTTAATTCCATTTATTACTAAACTTAGCTTAGCCTCGAGATCCGCCTAAGATGGAGTTTTTAATAAAAAAATTTCCTTGTTTTATTATAATTAGTAATGCAGACTTCAATATTTACTTTATGTTAACAATATGTTTATGTTACTATATGTTAAATGGATGTTAATAAATGCATTCATTATTTCTGTATTAATGTCTATCAATAAATGTTTTGCTGTTGTTGTTCTCGGTCTAGGCACTATGGGGCTGAATCCGCTGTCAGAACCACCAGGTCTGGTGATACTAATTTCGGTGACAATAGGCAAAATTTTGGAAGTACTAAATGCCTCCAGTTACAAGACCACTAAGGAACGTTCCAAAGGACCACCATTGTCTGTGGAGTGGTTCCATCCATAGTGGACTTAGAACCATAATAATCCGGAAAACTATGGTACCACAAGTAGTAGTAGTCCCAATTTATTACTATTATAACCTGATACTAAAATGATAACCTTAAGTTTGATCGATGTTACCCACTTCACTAATGAACTTTACCAGGGACTAATAAAACGAAAAGTATGTTTTAGCTATAATGAAGAAGAAAATAGTTTTTTCGCAACTTTATACGCAGAGCAATGATAGTACCTATAAGTCCTAAACTGATCAAGATATTGCATTAACCAGTTATCGGAATCTCTAAATTCCTTCATATCTTTATGGATATATGATGTATTGCTTTATTGTTACCTAACTTGCACTGTCATAAAATGAGCTTACCGTGAGATTATAGTATTGGCATCATAAGCTGCTATTTTCCTACAGATGAAACCTTATTTCAAAGAAAGATTTAAGAAACGAGAATCGTATCTTAGTTTTGACGATGCGGTACTTGTTCTGAGTAAAAATGTTAACGTTGTGCCTTTTAGCACTTATATCCTTCTCCGCTGCTGAAAAATTTTCATACAATGGGTAATATTATACAATTTTACTTTGCACTATTAAACTTCATTTATTTTTAGATATAAAGTTTATGAAGTCACGCCAAAAACACTGGCAGAGGCTGATTTATTAGTCAATTTCGAAGACGATCTAAACTTTGATTTTTGGTCGGAAGTACGTACCCTCGATACAGCAGTTGATGTAATGGTTGCGCCTATAGCTCAAGAGAGTTTCGAGGACGCGCTGAAAAGCGAAAACATAGAATATGCAACACTTATCGAAGATGTGGACGAGTAAGTTAAATAGATTTCCTCTAAGACTGTTTACAATATGATCTGGGGATAATATAGAATAAAATTACAGTTGCTGTTTTAACTTTCAAATGCGTATTTGGGTATTTTATTGCGGTTTTACATTATGTTTGTAACATGAAGGGAACGTAACTGATCAATCTCTGGGTTGATTACTATGTCGTTGGTTTAGCCTTCTTCAGGTTTCGAAGGACATGTCGCTCTCTTCGATCATTTTCAGGGTTTCTCCTGAAGAAGATTCTAAACCAACAATGTAACAACCAGTCGCAAAACTGCTCGACCTTTGACAAGGAAGCTTGCAAACCAAGCTATGAAGTTAACGAATTTATTGGTATGTTGATGACGGCAACTTTTGAAAAAATAAATATATATTCTGAATATATAAAAACTGTGCCTAAGATAATAAAGTGGTAATTAATTTAGATTTTAGATGTTTTATTAAGAATCAGACATATTTAATGGGAGTTGCTGAAGTTGAACAACGACCATGCCTTAATCATTTGATTCGGTCTACCTTTATTAGAGAATACCAGTAATTTATTGCCTAAACTTTTTGCAGTTCATATTACAGGTACCTAAGTAACGAATAAATCTAACATTAAGTGACCCAAATACACATTTCCTCAGTATCTACTTATATTTCACACTAAGGAGAATAGATTTAGTTTATTCGAAAAATGTGGGAGTTGAATAAAAAAATAAGGATAAGGGGAATATGCCAAAATGCATATAGAGGTATGCACCTAAAAGAAGTTTGTCAATTGCACCTTATCATTAAACTATTTTCTGTCTTATTTCAAATGTGGCTTAAAAAGAAATACACGATGGACCAGAAAATATATTTATTTTGAAAATTGTAGCGTTTTCTGTTTAGTGCTTTTATTTAAAATTAAAACAAACATTAATTTTCTTGGTCTAATTTATCAATGGACAAAGAAATAAAAAATTAAGATAATATTTCTTCCAGCAGCAAAATGTAATTTTCGTAATTCTACCTGGGCACAATACGAATATCAATTTTATAATTTTCGTTATGATTATTTTCTAAACATTGTTAAAATTATTTTTTTTCCACATTCAGCATCTTGTAGATTGAAAAGGGGCACCATTTGATGAAAACATTTTTGGCTCAATCACTATATTTTGACCTCAATAGTCTCCTATGTTGTGTTCATTTGTTAATGACACATCCTGTATATCAAATGGATGCTATGTAACGTAACGCAAATAAATAATTTATTAGTGATTAGCGAAACCGTAATCAATAAAATTCTACGCTTAATTAGTTTAATCTGCTGTAGATAAAATAACGCATACGTTGCCCATTTTCAGAAAAATTCAAGAAGAAGATTTGAGACAAGGGAGATCTGCTACAGTGGAAACAGGAGAAGTAACTTTTACTGAATATATGCGTCATAACGAAGTAAGTTGACTGTTATTTAAATATATTGCAATATTTGCAAGAAATTTCTCCTTCGATTATACCAATGTAAATATTATCTGATATATCTGTTGTATTTAAAAAATATTTAGTGCCAGTATCCTAGTCTTAAAACCAGTTATTAAATTATTAATATTTTTGGACCTAAAACGATTCAAAGAACAATACACAGTTGATGATAGTGCAATCTTAAAAGACAGTATGTTTGCACATCGACTAAAAGAGACTACAGACTTTTTTTTACCACAATCATTAATTTCTATAATGCTGCTTTCTAATCACATGATAAAGACATACAAATCCATCAAGAGATTATCAAAACATCCTGCAAAAAGTTCATAACAATAATGAACACGATTATCATCAGCATCAAGGTACAGCAGAGTATTAGACTGACTTAATGTTAAGATAAAAATATTTTCAATTAATATTAATATTATTTTATTAGCCTTTATCAGGGGATTTAATAAAGTATATTCAAGTAGTTTCTCTAAAGCAGTCATGTTAAATTTAATTAAAGCAGTACCATAATGCGATCGGCATTGTATTTCTTCTATCTCTAAATTAAAATTTTATTTTCTGTCTGCTTTTAGTTATACTAATTTGTACCATTGCGTTGTCGCAAGACGGTAACTTATAATAAAACGGAAACAAAATTCTAAAAATGTAGTTTGTAGATAATAAATATCGATAATTTTTAATACAAACAAAAAATAACGTTACAAAATAGAATTTATGTTCACAATTATTGAAAATTATGGTATTTTTTGTTTGAAACTACTCTGCTGAATTAAACAAACTTTAAACTCATTTGTTTTGTCCCTAAAATTTACCTTAAAAGTCTTATATTCACATACGAAAATAAGTTTGTCACAAAATCTGCGTTACATTTTACAGAAAATATCTAACTATAAATTAGCCTTACTTTCCAACTAATTAAAATTTCAGATACTTGCCTATATTGATCAACTAGCCCAAGACTATTCCAACATAGCGACAACTGAAGTAATAGGTAAATCCTTCGAGGGTCGTGATTTGACCGTGATAAGAATATCAAATGGCGGGGCTGACAACAAATCGATAATATTTATCGAAGCCGCTATTCACGCGAGAGAATGGATAGCCCCTCCTGTGGCCCTGTATATAATAAACCAACTTGTTGAAAATCCATCTTATGCAAACATGTATGAAGATATCGAATGGGTTATTTTTCCTGTCGTTAATCCAGACGGATATGAATATACGCACACTGATGTAAGTTCATACTAATAATACGTGAAAGCACCTACATCATAATCTTCATTTTTATGATAATACACTGTTTTAATTAACACATCCTAATTTAAAATCTTACCACTTTCTAACAGTTATAAACACATAGGTACGTCTTTGGAGGAAAACTCGTACACCAGCCACGATCTGCTACGGTGTCGACGCCAACAGAAACTTCGACTTCCAGTGGATGGTGACAGGAGCCAGCAATTGGCAATGCTCTGAAACGTACGCCGGGCGCTCGGCTTTCTCTGAAGTGGAAACGCAAGCCGTCAGAAACTTCTTTGACTCACACAGAGGTAGAATCAAGCTGTTCATCGACCTCCACAGCTACGGCAACTTGCTTATGTACCCTTGGGGGTACACTTCTGATCCCCCAGAAGATGTGGAGGAACTCCAGTCTCTCGGAGATAAAGTGAACGATGCGATCCATACAGTTAGAGGTACCAACTATACTGTAGGTACCGCAAGATCTATTTTATACGCGACTTCTGGGGGTAGTCGAGATTATGCCAAAGCCTTTGGTGGCATTGACTTATCTTACACCATTGAGCTGCCAGCAGGAGGGGATGCTGGTTTCAATCCGGATGCTTCAGAGATTGTTCCGGTTGTAACGGAAATTTGGGAAGGGATTAAGGTGTTTTATGAGCATGTTTTAGAGAAATACGTAAATAATTGATTAATGTTCTCTATATTTTTCTTCCATATTGTTATAAGAATTAAATATATNGGGAATTTATAAATGTAATACCCTGTATATTATTCGATTCTCGGAATCTTTGCTTCATGCCGATTCCAACAATATATATATATATATATATATAAAATGATTATTGATTCCTGTACCTTAATATACAGGGTGTCTCATGAATTTTTTGTGGCCCCATTTAGGGGGGCGTCGTTCCCTTAGGAAGCATTTCTCGACTGTTTATATGAAAAAATATTCTTATTTTTGGCAATAGAATCAAGTGATAAAATATTGGATACTAATTATAAGACACCCTGTATATAAATCATTTTTAAGAAACGAAGATATTTGTGTTGTGGTTTTAACTGTTTGATAAATGCCGAAATATTAACTTTATTTCACATTTATCTGGAGAATTTCATCAGTTTAATATAAATATAAGGTACTTCTAGATCATGTTTCTGCTTCGTCATCTCTTAAGTCTCACTATCTACAAATATATGTAAATTATATCAGACAATATTCCAACCATTTTAAAAGTCCTTAAGATTATCAACTATGATTATACCTACATTGTATCAAGTATTAAGATCAAATCAACTGTACGACGTCTGAGTGCTTCTACCAATACCAAATTCAGTATCAAAGAAATAGTAATAATTTCATAAGTCTATATTCGACACATTGTTATGGATGTCTTCAATATGTTCAAAATTCATATTAGTAATTTACTTAGGCACACAGATCAGTTCTTAAAAATACAATTCACAGTACCTAATCTTTGAGTAACGTTACATGTTACAAATAAAAATATCTTATCTCTTACTTGTTCTAGTTCAAGATTAGAGATGGGCGCTGATAGCAAAAGATAAAACAAGTGTATGTTATTGTATCATTCTCTACTCAAAATACAATATCGTCGGTTAATAGGTTAGTATTTTTGATATAAAAGCCAGAGTTGGGCATGCGATTTTCATACTGCTTCAACAAACCCGGAAAATGAAACTGTTATCTCTGTACCTTCTGACTTTTGCATTTTTTCAGTCGTCTTGGAGTTTCAGTTACGATGGGTAACGTTACAATACTTCACATTTACTTACTTTTATAAGCCGATATTTTTTTTCAGGTACAAAGCTTACAGTGTGACTCCAAAGACACTAGGTCAAGCCAAGATTCTAAAGGAATTCGAAGATGACGAACATTTCGATTTCTGGTCGGAATTTCGAGCTCTTAATTCATCAGTAGATGTGATGGTTTCGCCAAAAGCTCAATTGGATTTTGAAAATTTCCTTAGCAGCGAAGGTATCGATTACACCATATTTATTGAGAACGTTGAAGAGTAAGTATAAATGACACACAATTTATTATTCTAATAATTAAACTCATTAATATGTATTATGTTTAAACTCTATTCTATTTTTCAATCTATAAGCCACAGCCTAATATACTGTAATATTTTAAGGGTACATGTTTTTCTGTATCATTATTTAAAAATATGAATGTTCAGACACTTATAATTGATCCAAAGTATTGGAAGGATGTAAATGAATTAACACTGCTTTAACAAACTTATTGAACTAAATATGTACCTAGCTATGAATTTATCCAAATTACTATTTCTGGGTATGAACAGAAGAATTTATATTACCTTCCTCTGAATTCTAGGAAAATACAAGAAGAAAACAAGCGACAAAAAAGATCTGCACTAGTAACAAGAGGAGATGTTAGCTTCACTGAATTTATGCGATATGATGATGTAAGTATGTAATGATGTAATTTAATTTACAATTTGAAAAGTCGTTGCCACATAGCAAAAGTTATTTTTCGATGAGTTACCATACTCTTTGGGAAAATCCATCTGAATTTCTAGAGAATGCTAAAAATATCACTTACTCTTAAAATTGGAAATAAATGGAGAATTTGTTGCATACAATGTTATGTTGTTATAGTTAGTCAGCATGGAATTGTTTTCAGATAACTGCCTATTTGGACAAATTGAACGTAGAATACTCCAACATCGCGCAAACTCAAATAATAGGGAAAAGTTTTGAGGGACGTGATCTGTACCTCATAAAGATATCCAGCGGAGGTTCCAACAAGCCCATTCTCTTTATGCAAGCTGCTATCCACGCCAGAGAATGGATCGCACCACCTGTAGCCCTGTACGTAATAAACCAACTGGTGGAAAATCCAGAAAACGCAGATTTGTACCAAAATGTCGACTGGGTGATTGTGCCAGTGGTAAATCCAGACGGATATGAATTCAGCCATGTTGATGTAAGTATCATAAGCATATATCCATTGTTTTGTCGATAATATTAAATCTATCAAGATTCAAACTATTGACAAACTAGATTTAAATTAATTTAAAAAAGAAACAAGTTGTTCTTTTGAAAACGAAAGTAGCCTGTTTTGCTTTTTTCACTGTGATATTTTTAGTTGGGTGCAAATAATTTCATATAAATGTTCTGTTCCGTTTAGCGCAAAGGTTTACTTATTTAACGTGCTTTAAAATTTAAGGCTCAGAAACAAAAAAAGAATGATAGCAAAATGATACATAATTTTACTAAATAATCAATGAAACCTAATTAATAATGACTATGGTTTATTTTTGGGATTTTTAGTGAAGTGTAAGATGTCAGAGCAATATTAGATACTGTCTGAAATTTGCATCTGTACCAATGATCCATTAAAACGTAATAGCTGCATTAGGGTGGCCCAAAAAAAAACAATTTTTTTTTCGTGTCTTGTGAAAATATGTTAGTTTATCATGTTTTAAGAGGTCCCTCAAAAAATCAGCTCAATAAAACTTTTTTTAGAGATCGTTCAAGATTTTTAAAAATTTCCAAAATCGACGAAAAATTTAATTTTTTTCTTTTTAAATTTTTTTCTAGTTATTTTATCATTTTCTAGGTTGAAAAAAATCTCGATTCTGAAAATTTCAAATCGAAATTTTAATTTCTAAAAGTCACTAATAATTATTTTCACTTTCAAAGTAGTGTACCTATGTTTTCGAGCGACCTCTAAAAATAAATATCAACGAACAAATAATTTTTTTATTGAATTTGATGAACAAAAGAATAGAAATAAATCACGAGACACTTAAATTTTAAAAAATTGAAAAATTATAAATATTTGGTACTCACAAAGCGGTAGTAACTTTTGCCTTGAAAAATTTTTTAAGTGTCTCGTGATTTATTTCTATTCTTTTGTTCATCAAATTCAATAAAAAAAATTATTAGTTCGTTGACATTTATTTTTAGAGGTCGCTCGAAAACATTTTAGGTACACTATTTTTAAAGATAAAATAATTATGAGTGACCTTTAGAAATTAAAATATCGATTTGAAATTTTGAGAATAGAGATTTTTTTCAGCCTAGAAAATGATAAAATAACGAGACAAAAATTTAAAAAAAATTAAATTTTTGACGATTTTGGAAATTTTTAAAAATCTTGAGCGACCTCTAAAAAAATTATTTTGAGCTGATTTTTAAGGGGGCTCTTAAAACATGAAGAAAAAAATATTTGTTTTTTTTTGTCCACCCTAACGTGCGTACATAGAATGTACCTAGAAATTAAATTATACATTTGATAGATTTATTACTACGTTATTAAATAAAAACAATAAATACTCTGTTATAAATTAAAAAAATGTGTCGAAATAGATAAATAATTTTGAGAATAGATGTTCAAAGATCGCAAGATTAGATTAGCTAAAAAAATAATATGGTTATTGAAAACACGAAGGGAATATATTTTCAAGATTTTGAGGCAAATTTGTGCAGCTCAAAAACTAATAATAAAAATTGATTCATACACAAATTAGTGTAGGGCGATTCACATAGGCAGCCTTTAGAGGAAGGAGGGAGGGGGCCAAGGAGTAGTTGCCCCCAGATATTCTATAATAGTCAAAAATATCTGCAAGAGTAGACACGGAAGTAATATCTATACCATGATAACTGTGGTAACACCAAGTCATTGTTCAATGGTCTATCTATATCTAAATAGTATGTTTTGTTGATACCAAAGAAATATGTTATGTATATTTAAATTTTGACACTCCTTTGATTCCGGGTTAACGGCGTCCATGGTGATTTATTCGCATGTGACAAAATAAAATTGACGGATGTCCATCGTGAAATGTTTATCAGTTCAAATTAAAATGCAATAAAATATAAGACTTACTTAAAAGACCTGAACTTGCATAAGCTAGATAAGCCGACTCATATGAGTATATATAGCAGGCTTATAATTAATCTGTTAATGTACGAGGTGATCTAGAACTAATAGCTGGCAGCAGGTACAAGACAACGAAAGAGCAAATAGAGAACTGCAAGAGTGGATCTCTTTGGTCTGACAACACAAAATCCCATCTTGATCAATTTATTGCCCTAGATGATGTACCCGATATGTACATTGATTTTACACTATTTGAAAGTTCTCTTTTTTCTTAACAGCTTTCATTAAAACAGTTTTTCGATATCTCTTGCCGATTAAATGATATAAGACGATATACAGGGTGTCCCAGAAATGGTGGGCAATCTCTCGGATATGGATAGATAATGAGAAAATAATGTCACAATTTCATATAAAATTTTTTCCTCCGGGCTCACCCTGTAGAGTTATTAGCTCTTGAAGTTGAGAATTAGAAATGTTTTTTTGCTGTAACTTTTGTATTTTTTATAAATTTTGAAACTTTTTTGGCTGGATCTATAATTTTTGAAGCTGCTTTGGATGATAATATGAATTCCTCGATAATAATTATGGGGGCCCGGAGGCAAAGCACCCCCCACCAAAATTTCTAGAAAAAAAAATTTTGTTCCACTATACCCCAAATTTTCCATCATTTTATAAAAATTTATGGTATTTTACGTAAAAAAGGTATACTTGTTGAATATCCATAAAATATAATTTTGTATAATTTTTAACGTGTACTGACAGTTTCTAAAGTGTGATTTTATAACAGTGGTCTTAAAGGTAAATCACATGACTTACTTTTAACACTAGTGCTAAAAATAATTCACTTTTAACACTAGTATCATAAAATGAAATTGACTGACAGCATGCGTTAAAATTATACCTTAATGACGTTTGTAGAAAAACAAGTTTAGAGACAACGGTACTGTTTAATTTGAGACATTTTATTTAACAGAAACACAGGTTTAATCGTAGTTGGCTTTTACATATCAGAATAAAGGACAAATAATTTGCAATAGCAGTGTTCCAAATTATGAGAATTTGGACTTAACTAAACTAACTAAACGAAAAGTGCATGACAATCAAAATTTTGTAACTAATATAATTCATAATAAATTCTCAATATTAGTTCCACCTTCTCTTATACAAATACGAGCTCGTTTAACAGAAGACTGTTGCACTCTCCATAACATTTCAGGATTTTGTCGTATTTCATTTGCACAATAAAAAATCCTTTCTTCTAATTCTTCTCTAGTGGTTACAGGTGTGGAATAAACAAGATTTTTCAAGTGCCCCCAAAAGAAAAAGTCAAGTGGGTTCATATCTGGAGTTCGGGCAGGCCAATGAATAGGTCCACCGCGACCTATCCAGCGATTAGGATATACCTCGTTTAAATGGTCCCTTACTGCAGCACTAAAGTGAGGCGGCGCCCCATCGTGCATGAATATCAGTGCATTTCTGGTTTCAAGATCAACATCTTCTAACAGTTGTGGTAATTGATGCACAAGGAAATCTAGGTAACGTTGACCATTCAGTCTAGGGGGTAACACAAATGGACCCAATAAGTAAGGACCAATAATTCCACTCCAAACATTAACATAAAATTGTCTTTGGTGCCTAGTTTCAATAATAGCGTGTGGGTTCTCATCAGACCAATAATGTAAATTATGGGAGTTAATAACTCCATTCCTCCCAAAACTTGCTTCGTCAGTATACAGAATTAATCTCGTAAACATAGGATTTTGCTCATGTCTCTGAAGAAACCATTGAGAAAACTGTACTCTTGCACGAAAATCATCAGGATTAAGAGCATGCACTTTTTGGATATGGTAAGGGTGAAGAAGCTGTTCTCTAAGGATTCTTGCAACAGTGGTCTTTGGAACATTGGTAAAAGAAGATAATGACCTAATGCTAACTGTTGGATGAGCAGCAACTTCGTCCAGTATATTTTCCTCTACTTCAACTGTACGTGCTGTTCGCGGGGCACCCCTGTTTGCAGTAACAGGAGCAAACTGACCTAAAGACATTAAAATTTATTTAATATCCATTTTGTTTAATAATAGTAATCGTATTTTACCAGTTTCTCTTAATCTTTGATCAATACGTTCGAAAGTTTTGCGATCCGGAATCCTTCTATTAGGATAAGAATGCTGATAAAATCTTCTTGCTGCCGAAGCATTACAAAGAGCCCGCCCGTACATTAAATGCATATCAGCATATTCTTCATTGGAATACTCCATATTTTATAACAAATTATGAGTTATGAGATGAGTCTTAGATTTAAAACTACGTATTTGACAAGTTTGACAATTTAATTGCCTTTGGCATACTCTGACATGTCAAAGCCAACCACGATTAAACCTGTGTTTCTGTTAAATAAAATGTCTCAAATTAAATGGTACCTTCCTCTTTAAACAGGTTTTTCTCAAAAAATATCTATTTTATGGATATTCAACATTTTACGTAAAATACCATAAATTTTTATAAAATGATGGAAAATTTGGGGTATAGTGGAACAAAATTTTTTTTCTAGAAATTTTGGTGGGGGGTGCTTTGCCTCTGGGCCCCCATAATTATTATCGAGGATTTCATATTATCATCCAAAGCAACTTAAAAAATTATAGATCCAGCCAAAAAATTTTCAAAATTTATTGGAAAATAGAAAAGTTACAGCAAAAAAAACCATTTTTAATTCTCAACTTCAAGAGCTAATAACTCTACAGGGTGAGCCCGGAGGAAAAAATTTTATATGAACTTGTGACATTATTTTCTTATTATCTATCCATATCCGAGAGACTGCCCACCATTTCCGGGACACCCTGTATATATACAGTGTAGGAAAGCGCCGATGGTCTATCACAAGTTACGTGAGAGCGATAAAGGAAGACATAGGAATCCATACGATAGAGAAGGATGGCTATAATGAAGGCTTCTCTTTGTCACCGCCCGTTTCGCCCTTCCACAAACAAGATCCACTTCTTATTTGTGGAAGGGCGAAATGGGCGTTGACTATGATACGCCTTCATTATAGCCATTCTTCTCTATCGCATGGATTTCTATGTCTAACTTTATCGCTCTCACGTAACTTGTGATAGACCATCGGCTCTTTCCTACACTGTAGATAAATTAAACGCTTGGTATTAATCAAGTATGTTACTTATAAATAACATAACTTCTCAACTGTTTCAGTAATATTGTTTGATTTAGTTATTTGTAAGGAAATTTACTACATTTATTAATAAATTAATCTTTAGAGTGTTAAACCAAGATAGTATTTCGAGTTAAATGGTTGTAACATTTCCTAGTTGTTGTTTTCGAAATATATTCTATCTTATTAACTTAAACTTAAAACTTCTAGACTCGTCTTTGGAGGAAAACACGTACACCAGGCACCATCTGCGCAGGCACAGATGGGAACAGAAACTTCGACTACCATTGGATGGTGACAGGCGCCAGCGGGTGGCAATGCAGTCAAACATACGCTGGCCATTCTCCTTTTTCTGAAGTTGAGACACAAGCCATCAGAGATTACGTTCTGGCCAACAAAGAGAACATTAAGCTATTTTTAGACATACACAGTTACGGAAACTGGCTGTTGTACCCGTGGGGATACACCACCGATCCTCCGGATGATGCCGATGAACTACAAGCGTTGGGTGATCGCGTAAACGATGCTATTGCTGCAGTAAGAGGCACCACTTATACTGTTGGAAACTCCAACATCCTGTTATACGCCACGTCGGGTACTGGTCCAGATTACGCCAAGGGAGTTGCTGGTATCGATTTAGCGTACACTCTTGAGTTACCAAGTGGAGGTAGTTCTGGTTTCAATCCTGAAGCCGACGTCATTGAATCTGTTGTCGAAGAAACTTGGGAGGGACTTAAAGTATTCCATGATTATGTTTTGGAAAGGTACCTTCAGCGACAATAATCGTATTTATGTAAATACAGTTTGTTGGATTTTCTACAAATTTAGTTTTCTTATTTCAAAATCCTTAACTCGTCCTGGTGAAGTCTCTGATTTGCAAAGTAAAATGTAGTAATAACCTAGTACTTCTTAAAACTCCAAAATCTTGTCAGTGTAACTCAGTAGGGTATGGAACTAACAGACAGCTCTGGTTGGGTTAGGAAGTAGTAAGAAACCGGTTCTGATCAACTCTTGACACAATTGAGCAAAAGAAAAACATATATTAAATTATTGGCAAGAATTATCAATCTTTATTATCTTTTCCGAAAGTATTTACATCATACCCCTAAAACTAAACACGGTTGAAGTTAAACAACTTGAAAAAGATTATGTTCCGTTCGTTTTTAGAAAGTAAAATTTTAAGAGTGATCCTTAGGATACAGTTGATGACGATAGTATTTTCTATTCACCGGGAACCTATCCTAACATTTTACTGATTATATTTTAGAAAACAACTATCATACGTACTATAGCTTCACAATTTCATTACACCAAGTAATACCTCGCACTGTAAGGCTTTAATAAACTATACAGGGTGTTAAAAAAAGAGTGTAAAATATTTCAGGAGGTAATAGTATGAACCAAAATAAGCAGAAAAGTCTTAATAAACATGGGTCCGCAAAGTAACGGTTGCGGAGATATGGACAACTATTCGTTTTTCAAACATTTTATTTTATTAGGAATAAACCGACAAAGGAAGCTTATAACAAACAAAAAACAAAGTTACAGAAGATGTTCAAAGTGCCCTCAGTCCATTTCCAAGCAGGCACGACATCTTCGTCTCAACGATATTCGAACTCTTTCGAAAACGAAAACACCTCCTTGGTTTGGATTTCTTGACACTTTTGATTAATCCGTAGCTGCAGCAGTGCTAGAATTTCTTCTTCTGCTCTAGGAGTGGATACCGCCCTTGGTCTTCCGGATAAATGGCACTGTTTGCTCAAGGAACCGGTATCACGCAATCTTTGGTGAATTCTTCCAAACATGCGTTGTGAAGGAATCTGGCGATTTGGATAAACGTCAACATAAAGACGTCGCGCTTCGGTGGCGTTCCCATTAGCACGACCATACATGAAATGCATGTCTGTTAATTCTGCGTTAGAGTAACCAGCCATAGCGAAAGAAAACTTGTGCACTGAGAACAACTGTCAAATACGTACTGTTTATTTCACTAAACATCAACCAACTATTATAAGAAAATACAGAACGTTTTTGCAAAATAAAAAAAAGAGGCTAAAAAACATAAAACATTCCATATCTCCGCAACCGTTACTTTGCGGACCCATGTTTATTGAGACTTTTATGCTTATTTTGGTTCATACTATTACCTCCTTAAATATTTTACACACTTTTTTTAACACCCTGTATAAATAAATAATTTTATCTAAAAATTAAAGTTTTCAGATAATACGTTATTTTGTCAATAATACTGTCACATAAAAAATATATTCTTATTACATATGAAAGTTTCTCTGGCAATAAAACTGGATGTTTGCAAGGTAACTCACGCAAAATACGGACATACCTTAGTGAATACGACATTTTATAACTAAACAGTTTTTTATTGACATTTATTGATCCCTTTGGTCGGGTTTACCACTCCTCTATATCTAACTAGTAACCGAAATGATGTCGTAAAAATTGATGACATCTCATCTTTACCGAAAGTCGCAGCGTACCTGGAGGAAACTTTAAATGTTTGATGTTTTTCTTTGTGACATTCAACATGTGCTATAACGCGATATTAGAGACTTTTGGTCTTAATTTGTATTGCCAGTAGGACTCTTTAAAATCAAATTTTACTAAAAATTACATAATTAAAAAAGCCTTTCAACGTACAGGGTGTCCCGAAATTCATGCAACAAAATTTGGTCATAGATTCTTAAGACAAATTTAGGGGACCCGTATTTTTTCTTTCTGCCAACTGGCCCCCTCTTTCGGAGTTACAGCACCTGAAATCTACCCCTAACAAGTTTTTTTTATATCTCAAAACCATGTTGTACGAGAATCACTAAATTTGGTACACAGAGGTTTTATGACATGTGGAATCTCACAGTGCTACGCTTTTTGGCGAGAAACCCCCTTAAGACACTTTTTCGTGGGCCCCCTTGTCTTTGGAACCAGAAAAATTTGTCGCAAATTAGATTTTTTTTTTAAATTATTAGTTAGCTAGAAAGCCATTGAGTTTAGAAACTTTTTTGTCTCTTGATATTTGTTTCGTAAAACGCAATGTTTTTGAAGAAAATGGCGAATCACGATATGCATCCGATTACATTTTCACATTTTTCTCGAAAACATTGCCTTTTACGAAAAAAGTATAAAGAAACCAAAAGTTTCTAAATTTAATGGCTTTCTAGTGGACTGATAATTTTTAAGAAATTCAAATATGCTACTAAATTTTTTTGACTCCAAAGACAAGGGGGCCCACGAAAAATTGTCTTAAGGGAGTTCCCCGCCAAAAAACGTTGCACCATCAGATTCCACATGTCATAAAACCCCTGTGCACCAAATTTAGTGATTCTCGTACAACAGGGTTCTGAGATATAAAAAAAAAGATTATCTATTCTAAGGGGCGGACTTCAGGGGGCTGTAACTCCTAGGTGGCCACTTGGCAAAAATAAAAAATACGGGTCCCCTAAATTTGTCCTAAGAATCTGTGACCAAATTTTGATGCATGAATTTCGGGACACCTTGTATTAGATAGGAAAGAAATGAAATATGAATATAAAATATAACTAAAAATAATAGATTCATTGATTTTCTTCCAATGGAAACCCTACAGATTGAAGATGGGAGTTTAATAGGACTGAAGTAGTTTTCAATATTATTCTGCACTAAAATTGTGTCTAAGCTTAAACTAAGTGTAATTACTTTTCTTTCTTCAAACAGTAGGATATGTTTATTTTTATCAATATATCTACAATCATTTTCTTATCCTTTGGCTTTAACTAATCACCAAACTAGACTAATTTAATCTACAAATGAAAAAATTTAATCTCGAAAGCGAGCTAGGATTGCATGGTGATCATTATGCGTCACTTACAAAAATGGCAAAAATCCTTTCAATGACCTAATAATAACAATTTAATAACATTATGAAATGTGTCAAGATATACAATAAATATAATTTATTATTGACTGCAGATGATATGTACTTGACTATTAAGTACTTTTATTTATTCAGAATCACCTTATAATCGAACTTTTATCCGCACATATGAACCATCTAAAGTGATACTTTATCTACTAGTGGAATAAAGTAACTTTATTTCACTAGTAGAATAATGAAAAAAATAATATATCTATAATAAATCGAATTTAATTTATTTACTTATAAACATTAACATTTATAGTAATAGACATTTCATTTTTTGTTTTGTCACATTTAACTTCCTTTCCGTCCATAATAACTCTTGTAGCATTCTTACCATTATTTTCGGAGCGCATAACATCTGCCGAAGTTTGTATTTTCTTGTAAGGAACACCTATATTTTCCTTGAATTTTCCTTCCATCCACCAAGCCGTTTAATGTTTATGAGATCAGCACCTTTATTGGCCAATAAAGTTATTGAAGTGCTCCTCATACAATGACCACTATATGCTTCTGGATTTGCGATATTCAGAAATGAAGCAACTGTTGAGGGTATCTTCGCCAATGTGTTGATTCCAACAGGCTGATTGATGTATCTTAAAAATAATATGTATTGTGTTAGGCGAATTGGGCGCAAAGAAATATATTCTCTGCATATATCAACAGCATTCACGCAAAATCCTTCTTCTATAATTAAAAATTTTCTTGAAATGCCCGTCTTGGTATCAGGTATTAAAACAAGCAGGTCATTGCCAACGTCCTGTACGTCAATAATGTTCAAATTTGTTAATTCGCAGCATCGACAAGCACCAGAAACCCACATCATTAGTGCAACCTAAAATAATTCAAACCTAACAATATGTAAAAGGTAGAAATATTACCTTAATCATTAAATATTCTTTATCGGAAGCCTCAGTCAAAAATTGTTCAATATGTGCTCTTTCCAATACTACGCTTTTTTTGCTTTGTATCCTCGCGATTCACTCTTCAAATAAGCAGTAAGCTTGTTATATATTCAATATTTTTTGTGGACCTTTATAGCAGCCTTCAACATCGAATACTTCGACCACATAGATGAAATTGCATATTTTTTCTTCAAATTTAAAGAATGCGATAACATGACTTCTTCATTTATTGTCATTACTCTCCGTTTTCCCTCCATTCGTTAAATTCGGCGAACACTTTTTCGTAATGTTCCCTGGATTTCGCTGGTAATAAATGGAAATCTCTTCTTGAGCTTCTTCAAAAAGCCACAGCAACACACTTACTTTCTTACATTTTTACCAAATTCAGATAGCGCTGTTTATTAAATAATTGATAATAAAGAACTTACCATAGCAACCAGTAGGTATAACAAATCCTACCACGTTTCATTGAGTACTAGAAAGAAATAATTCTGACTCCACAAATATGATCGTGATATGATTATGGATAAAAAGTTGTAAAGTGTGTCAAAAGAATAATAATTTATGTGACAATACTTTGTTTTTTCGTTTATATTAAGGAAACATTTGAATTGAGTAGGTATAAATATCAGGTGTCAAAAAATTTTCGCAAGATTTGAATCTTGCGCCATTTCTACGGTAAAGTGTTGCCAACGAAAAAAAAGACAGCAACAAATATTTTAAAAATAATAAAGATTTAGCAGCTGCAGTTCACAATTTTCTTACAAAGTGTGGTCGGAATAGTGATTTAACTTCATCAACTGTGAAAATTAATTGAAAAATTCAGGCAGACTGGATCAATTAGTGATCTTAAATACTCTGTTCGACCTTCAACAAGTCGTTCAACCCAAAACATGGAAGCAGTTCGTGAGTTTCACTAAGAGTCCAGGAATATCAATTCGGTACCGTGGTCAATAATTGGACATTTCGAGAAGCCTCTTCAAATTGTCACATTTAGACTTCAGAAAATCCAGGAGTGATTGTGGAGAAACAAATGCATAAACAACATGTCACTGTTTGGTGCAGATTGTGGTCTGGATCATTCTTCTTTGAAAATGCGGCTGGTCAGGAAATAGCAATTAATGATGCTCGCTATCGCGACATAACAATCGAGTTTTTATTCCTAAATAGCAAGATGTGGATATAGACGACATGTGGTTTCAACAAGTCGGTGCCATATACCATATTGCCCGAGAAACAATTGAATTACTGCATGAGTCATTTCTTGGACGTGCAATTTCTCGTTTTCTTTGAGGTTTTTTGTAAGTTTATACCAAAAGCCCACGACCACCCACACCTTGAAGAAGGAATTGAGCGCTATATCAACTAAATTCACCTCATTTATGCAAAACGGCCATGAAAATAAGTTTCGACAAGAGATTGCGTATGTGCCAACAAAACCGTGCAGGCCACATACTATTCCATACTGTATACTTCATGAATCAATGAAAAATTTACAAGTTTTATTTAAAAACCTGTGTTTTCTACCAAAGTTACTTCTTACGTTAGCTTTGGGATACCCTTTATATATAAAATGAGTTACAAATTAGAAAGAATTTACTAATTTTTTATTTATCGATGAGATGGGAGATGCAAGGAAGGAGTTAAGTGACATAATTTAATTCCCTATCTAATTCTCTATAGATGAACTCAATATAGTGCCATATATCATGTAAATTTCCAGCATTTGGCTTTGGGTGAAATGCAGAGCACTAAAATGTAAAGTGGATATCGAGTAAGCGCCCATGTATCTCAATATTTCAAAAATATGACGCCTAATGATAATAAATTCTCAATGACCTTTCTGTCGGGGCCGTAAGTCTTCGCCGTCTGTGGATCCAAATAAAAGCTCTGGGGTGACATTTCCCCTCTAAATGTTAAACCTGCTACAGTAGCGACCCTGATACGTGATCTGTAACTTCATGAACAGTTGATCCCATTTGTTTAATATTTTTGAGTCATTAATTTTTATTTATGGCCGCGCTGATAGCTGTACAGATTTCGCAGAAAGGTTTTACTTTTTGTCGAATGAATTTAATAGAAAAATGACGGAAATTATCGTTATGAATCAAATAGATTGCCTTCGTCTTTGGAATGAAATTGAGAAATAGTTTTTATTTCCTCTATGATGGAAGGGCGGGGAGTGAAATGAGCCGGACATTCTAATTATGAATTGTACAGATGTACTCCAAAAATCAATTTAAAAAAAATTATACGGAGTCTTCAGTAGTGTTGAGTAGTAACAGGAGAAGGATTTACATTTAATTAACTGTCATTCTTCTACTCTGCACTTGGTAAATCTAACATTTCCTAATGCCGACACTATTAATAACCATTACAAATAAATTCAAAGGTTTATAAATCAGCTTAGTAAAGGTGAAACGGCTAAAATCCTTAAATCGAAAATGTTAGTTTAATGCTATATGTTACAATTTACAACAGTCTTACGGAAATACAATAATTCCATCTCAGATTAAATAAAATGTTTTAAGCTTGATCTAAATCCTCAATAAATTACATGTATTTGTTTTTTACGTTACTTAACCACAACACAATATTTCCAGGAATAATATCTACATAGTTACATGCTAAATAGATATATGAGCTTATAGTCCAGTTACTCAGGGTTTTTACCTCCGAATTCTTTATAACTGAACCAATTGACGTGAAATTTTGACCGGATGTAAGGAATGCTTCAAGGAACAAAACTTATTTAGTGTGGGGATGGAAATTTTTACGCTCAAAATAACCACAGGAATCGATAGAGGAGTCAATTTTAAGTTACAAATGTTATACAAAGTTTTTTGGATAATTCAATACTTTCCGAATAATTCGTCATTGAAAATGTTGATTTTTTACTGAAAAAGTGCTTGTTTTCGGACAGTTTTTTGCAAATAACTCTGAATCCATTGGGTTTAACGAAAAAGTTGTAATGAACAAAAAGAAAGATAATAAAAAACAAATCTAATGGCAAAGTTTTTCTCTAATTGCAATATAAACCGAGTTATGGATTTTTAAACATTATTATATATTAGCTAAAAACTAAATTGGAACCAGTTAACGTTAAATAACGCCAAAACGATAAATATTAGGAAAAAACTATTCTTTTCTTTTTTAAAGTACTTTGAAAAACCTGTTTTTAAAGTCTTTAGAATCAAAATTAACGGAAATATGATCGAAATAACATGATAGTCCCATTTTTTTTAAGAAAAAATTAATAAACAAATCAGTGCCTTTGGCGGCAGAATTAAAATTAAATGCAATCCATTTACAGATTTCTTCACTTATGTTCTAAAAATATGTTCTGGGTCTTTGGTCACTTACAAAGCATGATTTCGAAAAAAAACTTAATTTTTGAAAATGTAAATTTTTCAAATTTTTACGCTGTAACTTAAAAATTAAAGGGTGTACGAAAAAAATACAAGAGTAAAAAAAATTAGCATTATTTTTGCTGAAGACTGCTTTTTATTTTTATTCCTCTAAAATTAATATTAATCGAGATATCGCCATTTCAAGTTATCATATGAATGAGAGAACCACCTTTTTCGAGCCCTTCAAACCCTTCAAACTTAAAAATGAAGGGCTTAAAAAAGATCAACTCAACAGTTCACGCAGCCCTTACAATTCCCTGCAAAATGAGCCTTTGTGCGATTAAAAATCTTAAAAAGTAAGAAAGTTATCGTCAAAAAAATAAACACGTGTATAGGTGATAATTTTAGGAAAATTTAGGTTAAACAAGAATTTATAAGCATTTAGATCTTTTTTGTATATATACGTATTTCGACACGTTGATATACGTAATTCGACATGTGGAACATGCTCCGGCGACAACTGCCTAAATTCTCATCCAGTCATCGAAGAGGAGGGAAAAGGGGTGGTTTTTAAAGGTTTTTCCGGGTTGAAAATTTGGGATACATTAAGTTTCATGTTAGATATAGCACATGAAATTACTCATACTGCATAAATAAAAAAGATTTGATTACATAAAATGCTTAAATTTGTATTTTTTCTTTTTTTCCAATAAGGGGTGGTTTTCACCCTTTAAGAACAAAAAGCACACCTAGCGCATATATAAGTTTTGAAGTGGGGGGGGGGGGTAAGATAAGTCTAATTCTAATTTTTGAGAAAAATCGATACAATTATAAAAAATTCGGAGGTTTTACTATATTTTCAGCTACAGTAACTGGGCTATTAGAAGTTCAAAAATGTTTGAGACTCAATATTTGTTTAGGTAGACCTTAATTTCAGTAAAATTTAAAAAAATCAATAATATACCTAGGCGGTGTTCCATTTGTAAAAATCATACTAGGTAACGGTTAGAAGAAATCGGACACCCTTTAAAATCAAAATTATTTTGAAATATGAAGAAATCAATTTGATGCAACTTTTACTTGAAACATAATAATTGCACATGTGCCTATTGTTAAGACAATATATTGTTGAATAAACAATTTAATAAATAATAGGATATCACATAAGTATGTAGTACAGCTTCAACATGAGAGCAAGGAATTAAAATTAAAAAATCTCATTATTCTCGGAATCGTTCTATTTGTAATTTCATAGTTTTTGAACAGAATATACTACATTCACATGAAACCAAAATGAATTGGGTTAGATATTAAACAACAAAAGGCCATATCATTTTATATTCCTGATGTGGCAGCACATCTTTTTTATTAATTTAATTCCACCGAACTATATCAATTGCTAGAAATTTCTCACCATGTGTTAGTGTGAATGTGAATATTAAGTTTACTGTGATAGACATTAACAGGTAAAACATTATTATAGGTTTTAACAGCAAAAATCTTTAATTTGGAAAATCACCTAACTTTAAGAAGGCCACGATTTTATATTATGCAGTAAATCATTTGTAACAAAAAATTCGATTTGTTAGTTTCCAACTTAGGCGTTTCCCTTCGGGTCATATGCATGCAACTGGGAAAAGCGTGTTATCGTGTTCTCCCTTTAGCGATTCCAATGTGTTTTGAAAAAAAAAACGAATTTTACAGATCAAGAAAATTGTTCCCTTATAAACAATGTTTATCAGAGCGAGAAATGCCGCCTACAATATTAGAACTTTAGCATACATTACTCAATTTGTTATTTGTTGATATTCCATGTCAACAGATTATACTTTATTAAAGTTTTAATTTCTGCAAAAATTAATCTTGGTTTTAACTTTTTCCTTAAATGTAGTTTATATGTAGATAATCTTCCGTGTTTCTTCTTTCTATTTTCCGCGTTACATTACTTACCTTTGTTTATTTTCTTTATCAAATCCTAAATAAACACCAAACAAACCAAATCATTAAATAAACACTCATATCTAATTCACTTCTTAATTGCATATAGCACATTTAAAGAGTAAACGCACCAAGAAGTTCTTCATCACTCAGTATATTCAGAATATATCTGGAGATTAACTTCGCAACTACCTACCTATATCTGTAAATCCAGACGAAACCAGCGTTTGTGTAATCGTTTCATCTAGGGATCAAATCAATCAAATGCGGGATAAAAAATTATCTTAATTTTAAAATAATGGTCTATTTACTTGATAAAACTGATAAATGATAAGAGATTTTTAAATTTTAATGCCTAGCTTCCCATTTCTAGATAGAATTTTTGTATAAAAGGGGATTACAGCCAATGTATGCGCAGTAGCAGCGGTGAAGATGAGATTCATAATTTTTGCACTAGTTTGCATAGGCTTTGTCCTCACTGAGGAACCCTTCCACTACGATGGGTATGTTTCGAAATATTTAATTTTTTTATTTAGTTTATACACGAGTCTTCAATGTGTGACACAATAACAGTTGCATTACTTTTAACATATAAATAAATTGACCTAAATCTGTGACTATAAAGTAATTTTTATATCTTGTGGTTTTATTTAGCTACTATCTTTAGAAACTTATCTAGTTATTTCCCCTTCACCTTATTTATTTTTTGGCTTAAGGCAAACTTATGGTGATGAGTTGCTTAAAATTCCTTTAATACATAGACACATAGATTTGATACAATTTTTGTCATATTGTAGCCATATTTTTACCTTTTATGTTAAATAGTAAATTATGCAAATTTTTAATTGATATTTAATCGTACTTCTCATAACTTTAGACCATATTTTATAGTTGATATTGTTATTTTTGAAGATAAACTTGTAAAATCTGAACCATCATATCATATATTTAATTCAAATTACAAAAATCATATGGGCCACCAAAATTCAAACTATAACACAATTCTAAATACCTTTAGTTTAAAATTATACAGAAACGACTTTATTTTTCCATAGACTAGAGATCGACATCATTAGAATTGTTAAAATGGAGTAAAAATAAAACAAAATCTGCATAAAATAGTGATATGATAAAATATTATGTAAATTACATAATATTTTATGGGTTTTGAATAATATTGCGTAAATTCGTTTTTTGATAAACTAAAACTAAGTCGAAAATATGAATAAGATATCACGAAGTACATTAAAAAAATACCATCCGTTTTTAAAAGCGATTTTTTCGAGAAAGAGATTATATAAACATGGCAAACAAAGACTGATGGAAATGGGATAAGTCAATTTTTGTTAATAATGAATTTATTGCAGATGTAGGTTTAAAATGTACTTTTTTGTCTGTTTCTGCTTAACAGAAACCGAGCTAAGATAAAATCACTTGTCCTTTGCTATAAACACTGAATAAATTACGTATTTTTTATTATTTATTTTAAATTCATTCTTAACAAATTATAATTCGTGATTTAAATTGTATTGTCTACTCAAATCTAATAGGTATACAGTAACCTTCTAGGTAGTTAACAGCAACTGATTAATACAGTTTTTTAGGCTTTAAAAACAAAGTTAAATGTATTCTATTTCGATAACTGCATATACTGATCACATAATGAATAATATTTATAGACAAATATTTGCTATGCATTGAATAAGAACAATGGCATTCTTTATACCTATATCAACTAGGTAACATTTATGTTTTTACAAATATAATCCAGGTAAATTGTATATCATTCAATTTTATTGTGTAACCAAATATAATGGCAAAGCAAACAGCTGAGCGGAAATCGTTGTTGTGCGTAAAAATAATAAAAAATGTGGAGAATATGTCTAGAGTTGTGAAAGAAATTGTTATATGTAGGTATTGTGAGAGAAAACATGAACAACTTCTTTTAATTATTTCCTCTTATCATCAAACAATACAATTGAAGGGGCAAGTGGATGAATGTATTATGTTACAATTAGCTTATATCTCGGCTATTCTCACAAAATCGATTTTAAGTAATTTAATTTTAAGTAAATTTTGTCTTATATGTTCATCCATGACAATGTGTCGGTATACTTATGAAGGTCTGTGATATGATACAGCGATACAAAACATGTTCTTCAACCGAATATCTCAACTTTTCAGAAATTGTAACCTAACACATTCATCCACTTGCCCCTTCAATTTTTTTATTTTAAAACTACTAACTCTGTTTCCTTCTTAATTAAAATTAATTAACATTTTCCTGCAATTATAATATTCTCGACAATGTTCTAAGAGTATTAAAATGATTGATTTAAAAATATGTATATGTTCTCCAAAATCATGTTTATGTGATAAGAGTAGCACATCAAAATATCATCATTTTGCTGTCACCGACTGCATTAAAAATATAATTATTATCTACACTAATTGCATTCATTTTTCTACAAAGTTATACACGTAATTTTTACATAATTGTATCATTTAACAGGTATAAGGTGTACCAGATCATACCAAAAACTGTGGATGAAGCCTACTATTTGAGGTCATTAAACGAAGCTCCTGAATTTGACTTTTGGGCCCAACCTAGGGCTCTCAATGCCACAGTCACTGTTATGGTTTCACCAGGGACACAGGCTAGCTTCGAAAATGACTTGCTAGCCAAAAATATGGATTTCAGTGTTATCATTGATGATGTTGAAAGGTAAGAACACAAACAGTAGCAGAGACTTTGGGTAATTGCAGTTTGATATGGTATATTCAATAAAAATGGTTCAACCTTGATATTCAGTCTCTTGTTAACCGAAGTTCGAAAATCAAAACTTCCATTAGTCGACAGGTTTCAAGAGAAAAAAGTGAGAAACTAATTATGTACTTGATGCTTTCTAAAAGAATTTGGTGCAGCGTTTTCAAACCGTTACCAACCTAAAATTTGCATCAAAATCCGTTTGCTGTGAAATAAAATGGGTCTGAAGAGTTGATTTTCTTTATATTCTGCGAAGAAAAACTATTTCTTCGTAGAATCAAAACGAGGGTTTGATGATTTTACACCAAAATGGCGAATTTAATTGAATGCACCAGTAACCATTATAACTCAAAGCTTAGTATATCTATGCTTAATTAGATCGATTTCATTACTGATTTTAGCACTGTACAAGATGAAAACTTCCGCCAAAGTAGAACTAGATCAGTTGCAAGAGGATCCGTGAGCTTCACTTACTTCATGCGTTACGATGAGGTAAAAAAAATATATCCATATTTCAAAGACCTTTAGAACACATATTTTATTTGGTTACAAATTTATAAGTATTTTACTGAAATTTAATATTTACTTTTCATTTGAAAAAGATTTTGTCTTTAAGAAATAAGTATAAATACTGAACAATCATATTCAAACATTTTTTAATTGTAGAAATTGTGAATGTTCGACTATTCAGCAAAACGGATTTGTTTACAAGACTAATAAGAGAAATCCGATTAATTCCAGATTGTATCCTACTTATACACAATTGCAGAAGCTTATCCCAACATAGTCCAACTCCTGGTAATTGGTCAGTCATACGAAGGTAGGGATATAGTCGGTGTACGAATTTCAGGAGGCTCCGGTACAAATAGGCCAGAAATCCTTGTTGATGCTGGCATCCACGCCAGAGAATGGATCGCTCCACCAGTTGCTTTGTATATAATTAATCAACTTGTTGAAAACACAGCAAATGGTTATTTGAGTCAAGATGTAGATTGGGTAATTATTCCCAGCTTAAATCCTGATGGTTATGAGTTTACGCACACTAACGTAAGTAATCATTTATAACTTTGCGTTTTCCTAAATGTAATCCATCGAACTTTAATACTGATTAACTAAAAATACGGTATATGCCATTGAAATCCGACGGTAAACCACAAAATTTAGAAGGGAGTCGTATTTAAGTTTTGGCGGTTATTTCCAACGCTATTAAATTATATACTGGACGTCTCAAAAGCGTATGCTGCAACTATTTAAAAATGAGAGAAGTCACTTATGAATTCTGAACCCTCAAAAGACCATGCAGCTTTTATAGAAAACATTTCCCAATAATTGCGAGGTAAAATCTATATATCGAAATACTATATGCTTCCAATTTCACTATAAACCCTCTCTGTTATCTAAGTTCGCTTACAGCTTCAAGATATTTGAAAGATCTGGGAAGGAAATATGTGAAATTTACGAAATAGATACATACAATAGTATATTTACAAACACTTAGTGATATTAAAAACTATATAATTTTATTGTTTCAGACCCGTCTTTGGAGGAAGACCCGTACTCCAAACACTTCTTGTTACGGCGTCGATCCCAATAGGAATTTCGACTACCACTGGATGTTAACAGGTGCTAGCGACAATCAGTGCTCTGAGATATATGCCGGGCCAACGCCATTCTCAGAAAAGGAAACTCAAGCCTTGAAGGACTACCTCTCGGCCAACGAAGATAGAATTAAACTGTATCTCACATTCCACAGTTACGGAAACTACCTTCTCTACCCATGGGGATACACCAGCGCCCTGCCCGACAACAATGACGAACTCTACGCTCTTGGCGTCAAAGTTAATAACGCTATTCGTGCCGTTTCTGGAACCAATTACATAATAGGAACTTCCACTAACGTCTTGTATGCTGCTGCAGGAGGCAGTGACGACTACGTTAAAGGTGTCAATGGCGTAGATTTGGCGTATTGTATTGAGTTACCAGGAGGCGGTAACACGGGTTTCAATCCTGCCGCAACAAGCATTTGGCCCATTGTTCAGGAGACTTGGGAAGGTGTCAAGGCTTATCATGACTACATTAAAGAGAAATACGTATAAAAATTGTAACAATATTAGCCATCTAATCACTAATATAAATAAATATGTATAACTAAATAACGTTTTTCATATTCTCTCGGACAAGTATTTGCAAGTATCGACATATAGATTAAAGTATTTTTCAAACATCCTGTATACGAAAATCGAACTTTAAACTCGCAAATATTCCGTAATCATTCTATATTTAGTATTAAAAAGTACATTTTGAATGAAAATAATTTTATATATAATGAACACTATGTATAAAATACTTACGAAAATATATTATTTAGCCATTTAGCCAAGTAGGAATTGGATCTTACCAAACTCGCGCCATTATTCCATGGCTAGAAATTGGCCTCAATGATTTGGGATCGAGGGGGACTATCCCTCTTTATCCTGCCTCATCTCGTGTAGGCCTGGACAGCCTTCGTAGGTGGGCCCCATCCGTCGTCTACCCCGACCGCAAATGCGGCCGGTGTAGGCGCTTTGTGGGACCTCCTTTTGTCCTGGCTGGGCCCCGCCGGCTAGGGCCCTTTCTTCTGGCGCTCTTCTTGCTTCGCCGGCTCGTCTGTGTAAACCCCGGGGGTGGTGTCATGTTTATGTGTGGTATGGTTGGGTAGGGTAGTGCGGCTATGCAGCTTTGCTAAGGTGGCCCTTAGGTTAGCGCGGGAGGGGAGGGGTAAGGAGGGTATGGGGAGTGTGTATGTGTGTGTGTGTGTGTGTGTGTGTCGTTGTCTTCGTTTCTTGATCCTAGCGGTCTCTGAAACAGAAAAGGTTAGCGGGCAGGGGGGGGGGGATGTCGTTGGGGTGGTCACCCAGGGTCAAAAAGTTGGTGTATGGGTCTTTTGTGTTTGTCGGTCACGTCGGGTACGTAGTCAACGGCTTGCCTGAGGAGGGGATTGTCATGTCTAGCGGCTACGTCAAACCGTTTCTCCGCGTTTTGTCTTATTGTCTGTGTAGCGTTTGTGTATTGTAAGTCTCGTAATATGTCAGAGTTTCTTACGTACCAGGGCGCGTCGGTGGCCGTGCGGAGGGCTATGTTTTCCACAGCCTGTAATGACTTTAAGTGGCTTTTTGCCGCGTGACCCCACGCCGTGGAGGCGTAGGTTAGCTGCGGTTGAAGTACCACCTTGATAAGCGTTCGCTTATTCCTTAAACTGAGGGTGTTTCCACCTTTGAGTAAGGGATAGAGCCTAGCCCTGGTGGTCTTCGCTCGCGCCACCGTCTCCACGATGTGCGGTTTCCACGTAAGACGCTGATCCATCGTCACGCCCAGGTATCGTGTTTGTCTATTCCAGGAGATGGGTTCCTGGGATAGTGTCAGTCTGTCGAGGTTTTGTAGGATTTTTCGTTTGGTAAAAAGGATAGCCGAACTTTTGTTGGGATTAATTTTGACTTTCCACCTGTTGCACCAGGATTCAAGTTGGTCTAAGGAGTTTTGGAGGAGGGAGACGGAATATCTAGGATCTACGGATTGGGATGTGATTGTCAGGTCGTCGGCGTATATCTTACCAAACTATTTGCTTTAAATAGACCAGAACGGTTTTGATGCTGCTATAATAAAAAAATATGTTGCTAACGGGGTATATTGGTCAAGTTTTTGAAAAATATTACAGAAACACAAATATCTTCAAAGGTATTTGACATATAGATTAATGAAACTGTTGATACTAAATCTCTATAATTTGAGAGAGATATACTGTTCTTTTTACTATATTATAATACATAACTGTGCCTGTAATATCAATGTAGATAGAGATATAGAGATTAAAAAGCCCATCTACAATATTCAAAATGAAGGTCTTTTCGCTATGAATCAAACAAAAAGAGCGCCATCTCTTGGTTGCCTGTATTCATGCACTCCACTACATACAGAACTGGTGTATGCACATACTATGCACATAACCTTTCTTTATGCAATGGCACAGAGTAATCTAACAATCAGCATTCTAAATTCAAGCTGACGTGAAAATTATCGCATAACTAAATTATCTCGCTCTTGGAATAGCACCTGTTAGTTCCTTATTATATGTATCATTGAATATACTGTAGGGCAGTTTATATAAACAAGGGTACAAATGTTTAATTGAGACAACAACAACTAGAATATTTATATTAATAATCTATACCAAATAAATCAATTTATCATAATTTATGGATATGACAAGCTTTAATAAAAATTTGTATGTGCTAGCCCAGTTCTATTCCAAAAACATGGCGTCGAACACAGACGCCGATTGAGTTATAACTCTGACTGTTGGATATTCTGTGGCAATGGTCTGCGAAGAGAAGAAGACGAAAAATTGGCGCATGAAGTAATTCTGTCTTCTGTCAAACTCAAACTGTCAAACTCAAATTTGAATCAACGGATTTTGATTTCAAAGTTGAGTAATTTTTGTTTAATAGTGGTGCTTATGTGTTTTGTTATTGAGTTGAACAGCGCTAATATATGTATTTATATTGAATTTTGAAAGGAGTATAGCTGATTGGGATTTAATAGGAAAAATAATGGAACAGAATCTTAAGCAGTGTCGTATTATTCTTGAACCAATTATTCTTGAAAATAACATAAACACTCAATCAAATGCACCAAAGTGCCAAAAAAATGAAGAGCAAAATACTAAGAATAATACCACTTCACGTATTAAATTCCACAATATTAGTGAACTTATTTCTGCCAAAGATGTTACTTATAATTTAACTGAAAAATCTGTTACATCCTGTTTTGTAGAACTAGAAAATGTAAAAATTGAAAATAGTATTAAGTGTGACAAATTAGATATAGTAAACACACCACAAACCACTTCAAAATGTAAAAAGTCTAAGCAACCACAAGATAATGGTATTCCGTTTGAACCTGTTACTCCAAAGGCTCATATAGAGTTTAGTCTTGAATTAAAAAAAGCAATAAATGAACGCAACATTTTAACTTCAAAAACAAAGAAACATGTATTTGAAGCTCTTGATGAAATTAAAAATAAAACGGAAGAGGCACGTCGTACATTTAAAAAAGAAAAAGCTGTTTTAGAAATTGTAAACAGTGAAATAAAATATGTTCATCAACTTGAAATCATTATCAATTTTTTTATGAAACCAATAAAAGAACATAATTTATTAAAACCAGATGATTATGGTATTCTCTTTAGCAATATTTATACTATATATAATGTCAATAAGGAGTTGTTGGATGAATTAGATAAAGGCGTAGGAAATATTGCAACTGCATTTTCTAAAATTGCCCCATTTCTGAAACTGTATTCTGTATATGCTTATGAATTCAAAGACAGTTTAAAAATTCTGCAGGTATTTGGTATTATGTTCATAGAATTTTTTTCTTTCTAATGCTTATAATCTGTTTTAGAATGCAAGACTGTTAAATCCTCAATTTGCAAATTTCATAGAAAACCAGGAAACTAGACCTGAAATTCAGAACAAACTTTCTGCTTTATTGATAACTCCTATTCAGCGTGTACCTAGATATAAACTTTTACTGACAAATTTGTACAATTTAACCAAACCATCAGAGGAAGGTTTTGACGTTTTATCAGGTAAATGTTTTTTCTTTTAGTCTGGTAGCATTTTGTCAGTGAACGTTAAAAATAATTTTCAGTTATGGCAAACAATTATTTATTTTCAGATTGTCTGCATAAGATAGAGGAGGTAGCCGAACATATCAATAATTTAGTGGAAGATCAAGAAATTATGCAGCGGTTACTTGAATTTCAAAGGTGTCTACGTGGTGAACCAAATATAATTATACCCGGAAGAAAACTGATGAAGGAAGGCATACTTACAAAAATGTCTTCAAAAAATGGTCACAGTGAAAAACTTTATGTGGTTCTAATGAATGACATAATAATGTTCTCTAAAATGAAAAAAGATGAACCGAAGGTGAATTCGTTAAAATGCTTCAGTATCTTTCCTCTGAACAAGTGTAAAATCATTGAAATTCTGGATAAAGGTTGCCTAAAAGTTATTTGCCAGGATGAGGAATTAATTCTTTACCACGAACAGTTTAATGAAACTAAGAATTGGATTAAGACGATCAAGGAAACAATTGACGATCACTTAAAAGACAGAAAGACGTTACGGAAGGAAAGTTCGGCTCGTAGACCTGTGAAAAGGAAAGACCTGTATGAATACCATGAAGTTGGGCTTAGTCCTGGAAGACCATTGAAGAAGAAAAGATTGGACTTGGTATGATTATTACCGTTTTTTAATTATTGGTATCACTTTAATTTTCGAATAGAGTTTGATGAAGCATAATTTTAATGCATTGTTATTTTTAGTTCAGTTTTAATTTTTATATAGACTCACACTGTTTATAATTTTTGTCTATTTTGACCGAGATGCTTCAATAATTTGGTAATTCTAATGTAATGCATTGTACTTTCCATTTCAGGACATAGAAAATACAAATTCTATGTCAAATCATAAAATTTCAAGAAGAAGACCTATTCGAAGTACTTCAGAAAAAATTAATGGTGACACAAGTTTGCCCTGTTCTTTAATTGTACCTGAGATCACTGTAAAAAATAGTATATCAGGAAGCAGCCAAAAGGTATCAGATCTTGCCAAGGATCTGTACGTATTTGGAAAACCCGCTGATAACACCGGATTCAGATTGGGTAAATTTTTTGGAGGCATGAGTTCCACTATAAAAAGATTTTTAGGTTTTAGGAATTAATTTTTCTAACTTCCATAAGTATTTTTTGTTTTATATAATTTTATATAAGTTTCGTATTTTTATTTCCTCAATTTTGAACGTGTAATACGATAATATTACCCTTTACGTTCATTTTGCTAACCCAAGCCTATAATTGAGTTACTTTCGTCTGTAATTAAGTTTAAAAGTATTACACATTTGCGTTAGTCGCGGGATATGTATAGTTTGCATTAAAACTGTTCAAATGGCAGATATTTAACAAAGTTTGTAATAATTTAAAAATTAGGAGAAAAGTTTTACCGACCATTTGCGAAAAATTTCAAATATTTGTTAATTTTAATATTACGCTATACATAAAGCAAAATAAACTATAATTCATTTTATCTCTACTAGCTTAAAACTTGCAAGCTAATTATTCGACATCTGAGGATGAAGTGACAGTTACGTTAAATGTTTTTTCAAATCATATATTTTTATTACTGGAAAAAGTTTTAATATATTTTTTAGAATTACTTCTATTTTCTTTTAACATCCTATTCATTTATTTGACTCATCACTCCCTTTAATAAATGTGTTCTTCTGTAGAAACTGTATCTTCTTTCAGTAAAAAGGACAGCGTTACCAATTTCTCCTCTTGTATTTAGCTATATTCCTATATTCGTCCTAAAAATCAGTGTTGGCAATGAACAATTTAAATTGGCATTAACTGCCAAAATCAACAATGGTTGACGATGCCTCACAGTGCAGCAAATAATATTATAAAGGTTTTTCTCCAAGATACAGCTTCAAATTGAAACAATTGGAATCACCATTGCCTCAAAAACTACTCTGTCTGCCCAACCAAGAACCAACAAGATAAGTATCAGGGCAGATCCAGAGGTAACTGATAGCTGGTTCACCCCCACAGAACCTAGCCTGAGAACAAACAAAGACACACTAGATTCCTAGTTACGACTAAGGAAGTGCTAGTTTGTAATAGGCGGCGACCAGCTACATAGAATATGACGTAACAATCCAATAAACCGCGGTATTTTAAATAACGGTATGGACTATGAAAAAATTAAAATATAAAATTTATCTCCTTTTTTTTCTCAACATATAAGTAGAACTGATTTACTAAGTTTGACTCTTATTACTGCTTTACAATTATAGTAAACAGGTATGTTGGTTGGTGGTCGAGTGCTTCGAGGTGTCAGTACTTGAATAGATAAATGCCACTGTCGTGGGTTCGATCCCCGTCCCCGTTCAAATACGGCAAATTACAAATTTCTTTACAACAAAAAGTAATTTGAGTTTCAAACCAACTCCATTTTAAGTTTGTTATTTGTGCATTAACTTATATTTGGACAAACTGTGTAATAAAATCTATAAAAATGTATTGCTGGTTGCCTATTTGATCTTCGAAACCTATAGAAATAATGAAATTTTAGAAATCTACTACTGAACTATTTTGTCCTCACTAGAAACTACTCCAACTTTTTTGTGAGTAGTTTTCCATCGTGAAATCTGAATTATTTTTTTTTTTCAATACAGATCTCTAAAATTGTATTTATTCATTCATACAGAGGTTTCAGAGATTTCTGAGAGGTTGTAGTAAGAAACCGCTAATTTCTCAAAATTTGGAGTTACAAAAATTATTAAAACGCCTTTTTTACAAAATTGGAATATAAAAATTGAGATGTTCATTATAACAGCAATATATTTTTATAGATTTTATTAACAGACTTTCCTCCATTCTAATGAAGATTTTCTATAAAATGGAGTAAGTTTGAAACTCAAATTACTTTTTGTTGTAAAGAAATTTAAAATTTGTATCGTAAATTACAAATTTCTTTTCACCAAAAAGTTATTTGAGTTTCAAACTAAGTCCATTTTATACAAAATCAGCATTAAAACGGGGGAAAGTCTGTTATTTGCGCATTAGTTCATATGTAGACAAACTATAATAAAATTTATAAAAATTTATTGCTGGTTGCCTATTTGCTATAGAGTCCTCTTAATGCGAAAACTGATTTACCTATACATATAAACTAGAAGTAAAAAGTAAAAATTACATTTTCCATGCCTTCCAATTCTTTTATTTTTCTACACTCACAAATGAAATATCAAAACAAGTTGCATTTTTTTATAAACACTATCTTATACTTTTCACTTTTTTCATAAAATTATTAATCCTGCTTTCATCCAGTTCTTTATTCCATTTTCCATTTTTCTTGAAATACGATCCTACAATTACAGCATCGGCCGATATGTAGTTCTCTAAGTTGGCATGTGTCACTCCTGATCCGATTAAAATAGGCAAATTCACGCCTTTCCTTAATTCCTCTAATTCCGAGGCATTTGCTGGATCTCCTGTTGTAGTTCCGGTCAGTATTATACCGTCGGAGAGAAAAAATTCTGCAGCCTTGGCAGTTTCCGTTACGGATATGTCACTTGTGATCGCATGAGAACTGTAAGGGTACAGAATATTTTTATTGCTAACATTGGTAAACAGGAAATCTTACAATTCTTCAATCATTTGCATGTCAGCAACATCATATTGGACATGAGTGAAATAGGTAAATAGTTTACTTAAAAAATTAGTTCATTTGTTACGTATGTTGCTACTGTCAAGTTATAGGAGTGACTGTATGATTTGGGGCACAATATATATACTCACCTATGTTTCTTTTTTATATCTGTGAATACCAAAACGTCATCGGCCTGTATTTGTTTCCTGTACCTTAATATAAGGCCGGCGATGGCATCTGTATAACCCTCATCCGCTACATGACCAAAAACGAATCCTTCTGCTCGTATAAAGTTCATAGAACATGCTTTTGCGATCGAAAGGGCTTCTATATTACCCCCAGCTAAAACCTACTATTTTTAAAATTATGAATAAAAGAAAATTATTATTTGAAATTTGAGTTACAATTTTGAAGTAGCTACTAAATATTGTAATTTTGCGTCAATCCAGTTTTAACAATAGTATATAATAGGCTAATGTATGTAACAATGTATTTACCTGTACTCCAAAGGGTTTACTATGAGGAATAACTTTTCTTAATTCTGTACAAACTCTACACATTGTGGCTGTAACCTCGGGACCAAAATGTTTAGATTGTATGTAGGGTACATCGTGCATATTCTCCACTAGTATGCTATCCTAAAATTAAATCAAAAACTATAACTTATTATTCCACCGTTAAAAACTCAAATTAAAATAAATGCTTGTGGCATACATATATTAATTTCAAAACTATTGTGGATTTTTATAAACTTACAACATCATTGTTTAAGTATGTCTCAGTTTCTTTACATGCTCTTGACACAATTTTCTCAACTGAACCAGCGAATAACGGTGAGCCTATAAAAATATCAAATATATAATTTTATCAGAAGTAAAAGAAATAGGAATATAATTTAATAAAATATTTTGCACGTAATGCTTTTAAACTTTTTTTTTAAAACGTCTAAATTTAAATGTACTGCTCTACTTTGGAAAAAGACCATATGTGCAGTTTTGTGACAAATTGAGATAATTACATTTTCGAAATCTACATCGCATTATACCCATCTATAAATATCAAAAATATCGTTTTTGTTTTTTAAATTTAAAAATTTGTACATTTAAAATTTCTAATATTGTGTCACCCTTATTTTCTTCATTGCTATACTAGAAAAAAAACACCGCATGTGTCTGATGCAGACTTATGTGCATGTATTTCATTAAGAGTCACATAGTATAACGCCGCATGTGACCACATACGGCTTTCTTCTCTAGCAGAAGCATTGAAATACAATTTTTTTAACAAATTAAATTCGTATGTGTTCACATATGCATTGTTTTAAAATTAAACAACAATTAAACATTATTTGCAACACAATATATTAAAAATTGTAAAATATCCTGTAAAAACATCCAAAATATCATGTATACGATGTACATGTTCAGGTTCTTCTATTAATTTCTGTTGAAAATGTAGCACATACGGCACATACAGCATTTTTACCTAGCAAAATCTTAAATTTATTAAGAGAAAATAACATATGTGTCACTGTTTTTATTGAAATTGCAATGTTTTCTAACATTCTTGAAATACATTAAAATATATTTGTTTTTCATTTGCCATTACCGAATACATCAAGTTATTACCTTATTTAATAAATGAATTACAGCCAAATGAAGCATGCCTAATATCTCTAAACTGTGCACATACGATCTTCTTCCGAAGTAGGGCAGTATAGGTGGATTTAAATATACAAAACTTGGCAACTTGGTATATAAATGTCCATACAGTGTTTTATTAATAATGAAACGTATAGAGGAGCGGTAGAATCTTTGACATAAAAATAATACAAAGCAAAACAACAGAAAAAATTTAAAGGAAAATCCACGTTTTGCTGAACTTATAAAAATAATTTACTAACACTTCAGTAATTAAAACATTTTCCATGGCCATTTACATATTCTATTTAATACTGTTACTTTCATCACTGATTTTGTATTTTCCTGTTAAAGTTGTTATGTCATGATCGCAATAACAACAGCTCTTGGTAAAGATATTTTCAAAAGAAAAAAAAAAATGGAGGTGGTTGGTGAAAATTAAAATGGTCACATTTTGGTAACGAAGAATGGAACCTGTACCGTTTTTTAAGGTGTGTTTTAAACTAGGGTTGATGACCCCGAGATCTCGAAAATTGTTGCACATATAACGACTGATTAACAGGCATTTTTCATATTTAAGAAAATTAAATTCTCTTCGAATATTTTTATGCTCCGTTTTTTAAAATTAAATTTTGCAACATTCTTTTTTGTCATGAAAGTTCTCTATGTGGGCCTAGAAATTAACTTCTGAAAAATGGTATGAGTCCCACACTCTTTATCAGAATATGACTACTTTAATTTTCACCAGTCGTCACTGACTTGAACTAAACAAATTTTTTGAGCTTCTATTACATATCAGAATTTACAAAAAGGTTCATGTTTCTTTCATAAATACTGGCATATATTTATAAAAAGTATTAATAAACAAATGTACGATAATGTTGCATGCAATAATACCACAGTACATTTAAACAGAACTATGCCAATGAATGTATTAAATAGATTGTTATTTTCAAAGTTATATAGACAAGTTTTGTTCAAAAAACATATAAAATTATGCTATAAATTTACATAAACATTACAAACCAATTTTGTAATAAATTATCATATTTTTATACTTGTATGTGAGGATACGTAAAATAATATTTATGTACTACCTACCTATGCAAATTTAATCACATTTTCGTTTTTTTTTTAACCGACCAAACAATAAACACCTATTTATTTGTAATTCAATTAAATTTATGTTATTACAACCCGACCGCAGTGAATGTAATAGGTAATCAGTGGTATTAGGTAGATAAGAGGAATTTAAAATGGGTGATAGTGAATATTTTTATAGGTAATTAAAAAAAAATACATACCTGGTAGTGCTTCTACATGAACCATTGCAATTACTGAGCATTTTTTGTTAAACATATTCCTAAACTTCAACATTCTGGTAAGTGAAATTTTAATACCTGCTCTTTGTGCAAACTTTAAAACAACTTTTATTTTTGAGGTTAAGGTTAAAATGATAATGCGAAATGAGACCGAATACTTACATATCATATAAATGAAATTTATAACCAAGCTATCTATTTCTTTGGTGTTATATATACATATCTTTATATTTACTGCAAATTCGATATTTTACAACAAAATAAAAGGAAAAACTCAGTAGAACTTGAATTAAAAATTAACCTATTTAACTATAGTTTATGTAGATACCTGTTGAGAATTCTTTTAAATATTTTTGTAGAGTACTTATTAAAATGCACTTATTAGGGTAAAAAATTCGCAAATATATTTACTGAATAGCGAATAATCTCTCCTGGCATGTATTAAGTATGAAGGTGATTAGGTATATTTTACGCAAAACAAAAAAGTATTGTGCAATTTGTGCAGCACTGGAGAAAATATTTTCTTTGTCATTTTAAATCAGGATTTTTTTGCATATCTCGTTTGCATATGAATTAACAATTTTTGTAGATGACCCCTTAAGATAAATGTGAATTTATGTAAATGATTGTGCAAAATGTATTCAAAATGGCATCGTTGTTACAATAATTATTAAAATTCCTTACTCTGATGAATCTGCCGAGACCTCTGATCTCAAAAATTAAGATTTCAAAGTCAACGCAAATGTTTATTTAAAAAAATATTCTCAAATTCAGCCAATGTATATACTTTAATTTTAATACGTCGATGCAGTATAATTCAGAAATGTACCTGAACATATTTTACGAAATGGTATAAACTATACAAAAAAGGCATTTCCATTGGGAATAAAATTTGTATTTCAAAAATAGGTATTTTTAATACAAAACACCATATTGAATGATTTTTTAACATTTTTTTTAACAAACTGTCTTGTAAGTATAAATATATATTCTTCAGCATAATATGTCTCAGTAAGTACTTACCTGTTTTCAAGATCTTCAAAAGTATTTAAATAACACAAAAAAAAGTTGTCTGTACTTTTCATGCAACATATGTTATCCGTAGTATTTTTGCCTCCTGATCACGAATTCGGTGTCAGAATTGAGCTATCACATCACAGGAATTTCCTAACCTCAAAAAAACAGGTCAAAATAGCAAAAATTCACGAAAAAGTGCTAGGAAAAATACAATTTGTTTTTTATATTCAAATGATCATTTATATGGTTAAGACCCCGCGAAGGTCAGATATCATGAATTTTCAAAAAATAACAGATTCGCGCCAAATTTGATAGCGGGGGTTTTCGGAGTCGTTGATTACGAATTCGAGATCAGAATTGCGAAATTCACGGGTTTTCTGCCCAATCTCAGGTAATAAAATAATTGATTAAGTTTTTAAAAACGAATTTTATAAATCTGATCTTGGAGTTGTGATCAGTGACCCCGAAAACCCCCTTATACCAAATTTGACGCGAATGTTATTTTTTGAAAATTTGGTTGTCCGCCATCTTGAATTTTCCATAATTGACCTCGAATTCGTGATCAGCGACCTTGAAAACCCCCTTATACCAAATTTGGCGCGAATGTTATTTTTTTATAATTTGGTCGGCCATTTTGGATCCGCCATCTGGAATTTTGCAAAATTGACCCCAGATCCGTGATCAGCGACCTCGAAAACCCCCGCACACCAAATTTGGCGCGAATCAGTTATTTTTTTTTGTGTGCTTTAAATAATTACTTTTTGCATTCCACTTTTTTTTTATTCCATTTTTAAATAAGTATTTTAATAATAGTTGCCAAAAAATCTTTTTAGATGAAAACATGATTTTTTTAAATAAAAATAAGTTAATATTTTTAAAAAGAAAAATACTGTTTAAAAAATGCTGCTTGGACGCAGCGCTGAAAGTGAGAATATTTGGGAGGCGACTAGACGGCCCTATTAATTTTAGTCGTTAGAAACTGGAATTGAGGTGATAAAAAAAACTCGGGTAACATACTCAGTTTTTTTATTTTCAACTTTTTTTAACATTTTCTTTCATTCTCTTACAATCAAAACCACAAATTTACGCAAATGTAATAAAAGCCAGAGAAATGACGAATTTTGATCTCGTACCATTAATTTTTAATATAAACTCACTATCCATGCATTGTTAAAATTACTAACATCTACTCGTGCTTCATACAAATTACATACATTAAACTTACAGGGGCGTAATGCTCACACTTATCAAGCATATACACGTTACGTTACATACAAGTTAAAATTACATGCATACATACTACCGTTCAACCAATTGACTGCATTTTCTATGAGAGAATTTTTTTATTCGACGACCGAATAAAGACTTAATACTTAGATAACAGGACATGTGCAACACGAGAATTACATCGATACAGTGGATTCTCCGTTTTATTACTCTTTTACTTTGATGAGCTCTACTGAAGGCTTTCAATTGATATAATCGAAAAGATGGTTGAATCTAAATTACGTTACATAACTACTCTTTAAAACAAGGTTTACACGTAAATACGTAAATAGCCATAATATTTTAAGGCGTATGATTAAGAGTGCCCGATACAAGGTTTTAATTCTAATATTAAAAATTGCCCTGAGTGATGATACTGAATTCTTAAATTATAAAATTGGACATTTTTCAGAGTTTGATACATTTTTTTTTATATATTTGCAATTTTTAATTGTATGTCGTTAATAATAAATCTAATATGATTTTTAAATCTACCCTTTTATAATTAGTTTAATATTACAGTATTATTGGGTCCTAAAATATGTAAAACATGCTTAATATTCAGTTTTTTTAAAACCATTTTTTTCTAATTAATTGTCTCGGGAATAAGTAAGAATATTTTATGAAATTATCCATATTCGTGCTATTTTTAATTTATTGTCAATGTTGTCAATTTCTTACTAAACAAAATGTTCATACAGCTTTTTAAATTCATATAAAATTCAAATAAAAGCAAGGTATTTGTCACAAATGTTTTCTAAACTTTGAGATATAAAATCAGTATTAAACTTTTTCTGAGCGTTATTACAAATTTACTAAAAGAAGTAGGATTATACAATTATTTGAACTTGAACTTACACGCAAACATATATATATAGGGTGTTAGAAGTTTGTCTGCCTTAATTTTAACAGACGATAGAATACATTAAAATAAACAAAAAAACCTTATATGACAAGGGTGCTAAACTCGACCATTTCCTAGAAAAAATTATCAAAATCTCCAACTTGACGTACAAAAGTTCGATTAATTAATACTTTATGCTTAATTCTAAAAAATAATTAGCGTTGTAATAAATTTAAAATTCGATAACTTATATGGAGCAATGTGACAATGGCGCGGCGGATAACACGAGGTATTAAGGTGTCCAGCAATACGCAATTCAGTTGGTATCTGGATTCGACCGTGTCGGAGTGTTTTTTGCGAGTGCGCGAAAATTGGATTCGAAGGTGTCGCGCGTGCATCGAAAATGGTGGTGGACATTTTGAGCATATGTTGTAGATTGTTTTGTACTTGTGCGTTTAAAAATTATGAATTTTGCTTTTAGGTAAGTACCTACATTATTTTTAATACATACGATTATTTGGACGACCTGAATCTTTGGGTACTTTAATTACATATTTTTCAAATATGTAATTTGATTAAAAGTTAAGTTCCTGTTTTAAGATGTTCATAATTATTAAAATTTGAGCTAAAATTTAAGCACAACACTATCTTTGTATTACAAAATTGATACCTTTTATTTTATTTATTTAAAAACTGGAAAACAATTGTCTTGAAATTTTCTAAATGTTTCACAATAATAGTTGTTTACATATTTGTTATTCCGCAGGACAAGTCTGCCGCATGTCTGCCAATATTAATACTCGCTGTATTTTGAAAACTGTTAATCTTATGCCCCTGTAATATACAACTTTTTTGTTCATTTATGATTATTCTATCTCATGCTGAAGTAAATGGCAGTCAAACTTCTTACACCCTGTATACGAAATGTGTTCATTTACTGACAATCACTGTAGAAAAAAATATTTCCACTTATGAAGGCAGACAGCACATAAAAATCACAAAGTATTCATTTAATTCTAAAATTTCTCAAAATTGTCAACAATTTTATATTAATCTTCAAAAATCTGAATTTCCTGAAGGATAACATTTTTCAAGGTAAGAAATTATAAAAATTCAACAACATAAAAGTGTGTATTTCTCATAATGGGGAAACAAAAGTATGATATTAAATGTTCGTTTGCTCTGGATATTTTTGGCCAAAGTCCATAAAATAGATTTTCCGGGTAAATTTAAAAAAGTTTTGAAGTTCAGAAAATCTCAATTTCTTAAAATTTTGTAATAGGAAGGGTGGGTGCCCCAAATTTTTTGTCAGTATCTCTCGTAAAAATTAAAATGATTCCCAAAATTATGATTTCTAAAAAAATAAAAACTGATATAAAAACTTTTTTCGTGCAACAAATGGGCGATTTTTGGTTTAGGAGAAAAAGGCATTATTTTAACAAATTTTCAAAAACTTGGAACTAGTCTAAATTCTAATAATCATTTATTTTGACTGAACGAAATAATACGAATATTAAAAAATAATAAATATTTTATTTTCTTTATTGTAGCGCTTATATTTTTAATTTCGCTCTTCCCTTATTTTTCTAGTTAGAATACCAATATTCAACATTATTAATGGCTTTTCCAAAAATACTTTTTAATAATTTGAACGACACTAGAAAATATTACATTTTTGTAGTTTTAGTGGAAAAGTAGCATTCAATGTTATAATTTTACTGCATTTGCATAATTTGCATTTGAATTAGTCTTTTTTTGGACCGATATATGAAAATAACTCAAATTTAAAAATGTAATACTGTACATTTGCTAGAAAATTATGTAAAATATATTATTTTTCTCTTGTCAAATTATTGGGAAGAATAGGAAAAAACAATAACTGTTAAATAAGAAAAAAAAATTAAAGAGCTCAAGTTAAAAATAAAAGGACCACAATTAAAAGAAAAACTTGAGAAAATGTAATGTTTTTTTAATTTCGATACAAAAATTTAAATTCAGTCAGAATAAATGAAAACTGAAAATTATCGGGGAATTTCGCACACAGATCTAGAAGTACATATTGAAATTTCTTTAATGATCGTGAAATTTAAATAAAAAACGTTGGTGTTTATACGAGGTGCTATCACTGGATGTCACATCACTGAAAAGTAAATTCGCTAATGCCCGTCGTATACTTGTGAGCTGTCGTTAATTTATGTCTATATGGAGATTATTGGTGAAATGCCAATAGCATAAAGAATAGAATTTTGAAAACACTGATATTTCTATAAATTGTTTAAACAATGCTTTATTACATGAAGAATATAGGAAAAAAAGGTTTAGGGTAAGAAAAAATCGGGAACACGAGTTTTTTTGAAGTGGAACGCAACCACTCGCAACATGCTCCAGTACTTATTGTAACTCGTGGAAACATACTCCATAGAGGCTAGATAGAGTCTTAGACCAAGATCTTAGATTCTTATGCTGAATGGCTTTAAAAGCATTTTTCGAGAAACCACTTATTTTTAAATGGAAATGGAAATTTGAAATTTTGTTCAGAAGTTCACAATAACACAATTCAAGGAACGTCATAGAGGTTTTTCGATTGATTAACAATTTTCATTGTTAATAACAATTTAATGCGAAGTTTTGGTCTTCCTTCGATTCCTTTTTTTTTAATTCCTCAAAATCACCTTTTCTTCCAATCTCAAAAATGGCACTACCCCTTAATTTATATATACATTTGGAATAATGGAACCTGGTATCAGACCCTTGTTCGCACATTTGGGTCAAATTAATGACTTAAAAAAAGGAAATTTTGAAGATGAATCAACAAGAATATTGTCCGAGAAAATCGGAAGGAAAACTGAATATCAAGCAATAATAAATAACTATACTTTAATTAATACAAATTAATTTGAACATATAAATCAGCTTTCTCTGCATCTTTTCTTCAGACGACAGAGAAATTGTTAGGCGCAAAAAAAGCATAAAAAAATAGCAAGATACAACATTGCTTCTAATATTTTTTGTTTCATTTATTTGAATATTTTTTTTATTTCATATCAATTTTTTTTTAATCTAAACACTAAAAGCGAAATATTATGTCGTTACAGGGTTTAAAAATACCTGCCCGTCAAGACTCAAATTCAGTATCATCACTCACCTAAAAATATACGTTTAAAGAAACAATCAAACGTTATACCATGAACATTAATTATCTACAATGAGTGTTCGCTAAGGGCCTCTTGAAAATTAAACGATTTCTTTTTTGTACTGCGTCAGTAACAGTTTTGGATGGTACAACTGCATAAATTAACAATATAATTTCGCAAATAAATATGCCGTCATCGCAGAGAGCTACCACTAAGTATAATAAAATCACAGACTCTCTGTTATGATCACATAACTATTAGAATGTTTGTAAATATTGTCAGTAATTTATATTATTCCGTTTTTGGAATCCGTGAACGCTTCCTGAATTCCTCATAGCGTGAAGACCCGATGTAAGTGTACGTAGAAAAAATAAATTTGAGAAGTATTCACGGAGTCGACAAACACATTAGCTAATAAAATAATTAATTGCGAGAAAATAACCAACGGAAATAAGTTACATTTTAAAATATAGTTTTCTCACTGAATTAATTAATAATAAAAATATACTATATCTCTGCATTATTTACAAGGATTCGATCACATTACATGAACGGACAAGTAAACAACTGGCCAAAATGAAATTAATAATTCTAATGCCCAGTATAAAAACAACAAAATTGTTCTACTTGCAGGTAGTAATGTGACGCACATAAATTAAAATTATTTGAGACTTAAAATTAAAGTAAAATTCTTCGCAACATTTAAGTACAAATAAGTACTATGTATTTATTGTTCATTTACAACGTACTATTCTCAAATTTTTATGAACACAACACGGTGCTTTGGTAAAATTTATTGATCACACGTGCTTTTTCGATAAATATAATCCATTTTCATTCGAGACTTTAAACAAAACATATAACATGAAGGGATTTTTAATTAATACTTCCCTTATCACGAATCAATAAATCCGCAGGACGTCTGCGGATCAAAGGGAAGTCCAGAATGAAAATTTGAATGTGAACTTATTTTCTCAAATGTTGCGAAATGAGATCAGTTTGTGCTCAGCACTTGCGATTGTTGTTGGCGTAGGACCGATTAGCACCCTGAGAGCGCTCCCCACGTCTTTGTCGACGATTGCGACTGTTTACTTCACGAGCCTTATTGTTACGTTGCAGATAACCTCGTTTGATTACCTCGCAAGCTTTTTTCATTTGTGCCTAAAATATACATCACATCATCATTATACATTTTAGCGGTGGCGGGTGGTGAAAAAAATGACTAGAGCTGTGTATTAATTTCGAGGGATTTACTATAGATGGCGTAACTTATTCCACAACGCATCCGACACACTATGAACAATTGGAACTACGTTAGTCTTAAAATCATAGAACTCTGGATAGAAAAAAGATAAAAAGGTTTAGCAAGTGGTATTTTAAAGCTAAAGGGATTACCTTTTAAAGAAAACTATCGAAAATGCACCCGATTTATTAGGCTGCTCTCACGGAATGTTTAAACCTCGGTTTTTTTCGATTTTTTCAAATGCCACTATTTTTCCTCATCTGACTATTAAAAAATACTATTTTTTTCAAAAAGTAGATTAAAAAATCTTCAATTTCCATTTTGATAAAATTTATTTGACCTATTATATCATGAGTGATTGGCATTCGAAAAGTTCAGTGTTCATAAATTTAGTTTCTAACAGTGTTATATTAAATTAATTTGTCCGTTTTCATTCAAGTTCATTTAAAAAAATATTTTTATTAAAATATACTAGTGCTGGCAAAAACCGGAAAAAAGTGAAACCGGTTAACCGGGTTCCGTAAAAACGGATTTCAGATAAAACCGGTTAGTCGAATAGTTGCTAAAACCGGTTATTTGAATAACCCGTTACTTGAATCGCCAAAACCGGATATCTGAAAATCGGTGCTTTACAAAGACAGACCCGGAGAAATTGACTAAAAAAAAAAAAGGAAGTAGATCATCGAATAATCGGATATTTGAAGATTCGAATAACCGAATAACCGGTTTTCGGATATTTGAAGAATCGAATAACCGAATAACCGGTTTTCGGATTTCATAAAAATCCGAATTAACCGAAACCGGTTAACCGACTATCCAAAAAACCGATTTCAGTTGCCAGCACTAAAATATACATTAAATGTTGGATAATTTATTAAAGTTTTAGACTGAAATACACAAATGATTGGTTTTTAAAGATTTTTTTGGACTAAACTTTCAATGGAACTTTGTTCTTGTTTGTGTGATAAATTAAATTATACGGGACTTCATTTTTCAGCGTAATATAATGTCTCCAATTGAACGGTAATTGTAGCTCAAGTATGACTTGGAGTAGAAAATGCATTCATGCAGAGTGGATGATCCTACCTATTCTCAAAATTAGAAAAATAAAAATAATATACTCAGAAATATACATTTTCTCCATTATAGCCATTTTATCTGTAGTGATTTAATCCAATTGTAGTATCCTTATATCCAAATCGGTATGAAGAAAACTCTAGTTTATAATTTATATCATACATTAAATCAGTTATTTCAGAGAAAAAGATTTTGAACTCGATTATGAGGTAAAGTCAGGTTATCTTTTCTCTACATAAAAACATATTCATGCTTCAATCTCGGGATAAATATCCATTGCTATAAGAAAATATTTAGATTTTTTGAGACTACTTTTTAAGTAAAAATTAAGTGAAGTCCAAAAAAATCTTTAAAAACCAAACATTTGTGTATTTCAGGCTAAAACTTTAATAAATTATCATAAACATTTAATGTACCTATAAGTACTTTAATAAAAATACATTTTTTAATGAACTTGAATAAAAACGGACAAATTAATTTGATATAACACCGTTAGAAACTAAATTTATGAACACTGAACTTTTCGAATGCCAATCACTCAAGATATAATAGGTCAAATAAATTTTACCAAAATACAAATTGTATTTTTAAGTCAGATGAGGAAAAATAGTGGCATTCGAAAAAATAAAACAAAAATTGAAAAAATTGAGGTTTAAACGTTCCCTAAGCCTAATAAATCTAGCGCATTTTCGATATTTTTCTCTAAAAGGTAATCACTTTACCTTTAAAATACCGCTTGCTAAACCTTTTTATATTTTTTCTATCCAGAGTTCTATGATTTTGACACTAAAGAAGTTCCAATCGTTCATAGTGTGACACTTCTGTAAACGTTCTGCTGAAAAGTCCAATACTGTTGGAAACTTACGGTGAATGTACTCCATCAATCAAAACGTGAGTATTGGTTTCGACGTTTTAGAAGTGGTGATTTATGTTCAGTTGATAAAAAACACCCTGTGCAACAAAAAAGTTCAAAGATGAGGAATCGGAAGCATTACTCGACTAAGATTATTGTCAAATGCAAGATGGATTTGCTGAATCGTTGAATGTTGATCACGCAACAGATTTCAAATGTTTAAATGCACTCAGTACGATTCAAAAGCAAGGAAGCCGAGAGATGTTGAACGGCAATTTTTCAAGTGTGAACAATTGCTGCAATGACAAAAAAGGAAGGGTTTTTTGAATCGTATCATCACTGGTGATGAAACATGGATACGATATGATAATCCTAAGAGTAGATCGTGAGGTTTGCCTGTTATGCATCAACATCGACGGCAAGACCGAATATTCATGATTTGGCTCATGCTTTGTATTTGGTGGGACCAATTTGATCTTGTGTACTATGAGCTGCTTAAACTGAGTGAAACCATCATTGGTGAATGCTACCGAACACAATTGAAGCATTTGAGCCGTGCATTGAAGGAAAAACTACCACAACTCGACCACGTTACTCATGAAGTCAAAATGCTGAAATGGGATATTTTACGCCACCCGCCACGTTCACCAGATATTGCTCCAACGGATTACTACTTGTACTGATCTAGGAACATGGCCTGGCTAAGCAGTGCTTCCAATATTAAGAAGATACGAAGAATTGGATTAATTGATGGATAGCATCAAAAGTTGTGTTTTTTCTGCCAGAAAGATGATAATATAGTGGCTAACGATGGACAAAACTTTAAAAATAATATTGTACTCAATTTTTCACGATAAAACCTTGGACTTACAAGAAAATTCCTCAAAATTAATTCACAGTCCTAGTAGATTACTTATTTTGACTTGTCTCAGTTAACTTTTTCAAGTACTGGTTTACAATATGAGAAACACAAAATATTAGGCCTACCTTTTGAGCCCGTTTGCTCTTGAAGTTCTGTCTTTCTTGTTGCTGCAAGATTTGCAAGAGAGGTGCTCTGTTTTGTATTACAGCAACCCTTTCACCCGTTTCAACTTGGGTTTCCTCAACTTGTAACTCATCTTGCTGAGTTTCACTTGAAGTGGGTGAAGGCGTCCTGACCGGCACAAAAACGTGCCTTCTACCTGAGTAGTTAAAGTAGACACTCATACTGGGGTGTTCAATAAGCAGGTTTTCCAACGGTGACGTCTCCATATTAATAGGTCCCGCGGACGTAAAACATGGGGGAGGGGTGATGAACCATGAGTCCTCCATGTTCGACGTGTAGGGTGGCAAGGACGATGACGAACTCGTTCTTGAGAGTTCTCCCGGAGTAGGTATGTCCGTGTCGGACTCTTCGTATTCCCCTTCGTCCAGGCTGCGTACCGAAAGGGTGTCCGAGTTGCCCTCGCTATCCCTGTCCACGAGCACCCAGTCATCCTCCTGCTCTGCTGATGTCAGTCTTATGCTGCTGTTTTCGACCCCTTCTGCCGCTGCTCCCTGATTTTGATTTACTATTGAGCCCAGCAAGTAATTGGCCAAATTTGTGAACATTGTCTGAAAACCAGATCAACAATGAATACTTATTCATCCGATACCAAAAACAATCGAATTGCATAGGTCAAGCCTTATCTGGTGACAAAATTTAAATAGTTTCCATGAACACATGTTGGTAAATGCGTAGGCTTATAAAATACTGGGCGAGTGAGTCAAGATCTACTGTAATGCTCTTATTACTTTTGAAAAAAATATATGTTATAGCTGTTTTACATTGACAATTTATTGATCAATTAATTCATGAAGTCGCTTCATCAAGAAATTGGACAAGTGTAATGCACCAAATCTGCTGTCAAATAACTTCATGAATTTATTCATCAAGTTCTTGACGATTTGGAGCATATTCTAACTTTCGTCAATAATATAATTTCCATAATTAATTTTCCAGTAATTCTTTCACACTTCAAAAAAATATATAGACATTGGATTAGACACGGATACCATAAAATAATCAGTAATCAGTAATTATATCTTTTTTAATTTACATTGCATGATGGTAGGTAACCAATATTAAAATAAAAGTACTCTTCTTAAACCCGTAAGTGCCCCAACTCATAGATAATGTGCTATCTATCTTGTTTACATATACTATATCCGTATTCTATATTATTTATATTACAAATGATGTGACAAATATCAGAAAAATATTGTGACATTAGAGCATTTAAAATAACAATCAAATACAGGGTGGGCCATTAGTGTGAGAAAGTACAATAACTCCCTTGTTACTCATAATACAGAAAAAAAGTTTATATAAAAGTTGAACAAAATCAATAAACCTAAACTGCAAAATTAATTTGAAACATACAGAGCGATTAGTAAAAACAGGACACGACAAAGATTACATTTTTTAAATGGAACACCCTGTATATTTTTAAACATATGGATTTCTGAGAAAATTATGTATATGGCAATATAAACAGTTTAACATTTTAGTGCGAGGTTCCCATGTAGAAAATTCTTCGAATTTTGGAAAAAACATGACCCCAAAGTTGTATTAACTTTCAACTATACTAGCACTTGCAGCAAAAATATTTGACAGAGTAATAGACAAATGTTAGACAAACACTCCTATATTAGCTAATATCGCTATTATAATCAGGGCATTTTTATAATACAATCATTTTAAGAAAGTTCGTACTTGATTTTCTAAAATTTTTCAATAGGAACACCTTGTATTTTATTGTTCTATTTTATTCACATATTAGTCCACTTCAACTTTTATGAAGTATGATCTACACCTAAAGTTGTTAGTTATTAAGATACAGTAACATTTCTGGAAAAAAACTGTCACATTGTGTCAACTTGTCAGTTCATAATTTATCATTCCATTTTGAGTTAATTTTATTAGTTAATATTTATTTGTGGTATTCTATAAAATAATAAAAATTAAGTTTTTTTAGAAATGTTGCTAGGTATATCTTGAAAGCTAACAATTTTAGATATAGAACATGCTTAATAAAAGTTGAAGTGGACCGGTCTGTGAATAAAACAGAACAATAAAATAGAGGGGTTCGATTTGAAAAATTTTAGAAAATCAAGTTTAAACTTTCTAAAACTGATCGTATTATAAAAAAATGCCCTGTATAAAATATCGATATTAGCTAATATAGGAGCCTTTGTCTAACATTTGCCTATAACTCTGTCTAATTATTTTGTTCCAAGTGTTAGTAACTGAAATTTAATACAACTTCTTCGAGGTCATGTTTTTTCCAAAATTCGAAAAATTCTCTACACAACTTAAATTATTGTTGACATACTTGTTACCAAATAAAAAGAAAAATGCACAATACATATTAATTGGGGGTTAGTTCATATCCCTAACAATAACATTGTATACAACAACGATACTGGTGAAGACAATCAAGTGCAAGATCAAGTTCACTAGAGCGTACATATTAACAAAAACAGTATACCTAAATGACCTCCTTTGTCGTACAAAGTCTATGTCAAACATTTACGATAATGTTATATTTTATAGTTGAACAAAAAAACTTATTTTAAAGTAAGTATATAAATAAAATTAAAATATATCTGATTTATATAGATCTATAGTGATTTAAATTTTTATTTAAATCTAATATCCAGTAATGTATACCTACATCTAAATTTCATACCTACCAAGGAAATAATAATTTTAAATACGTAGATAAATAATTTAATGCTAAATATTGGTTTATTCGCGTCTTTATTGTTTAGAGAGAACGGACGGAATACTTTTAACTTTTACTCATTTAGCACCTTTTTTGTTTCTATTTTCAAACAAGTTCAGTGCACATTGTTCACCTTTAAAACAAATAATATAATTTTAGAAATTGCGCAGTTGCTATTTACAATTTAAAAAAATTAATTAAGCAATCATTATCAGAACAACTCCCATTTGTTGAATTCATTCCGTAGGTATACTTTTTAACATGTGATTTCGAATGAATCATGTTGAGAAAAAGAAATTACGACCTACTCAGGTTGAGGATTTCTGCACTAAATGCCAAGTCAAATCACGTCGAAGCCAAGTTTGTGTAAAACAAGGCGACTTAGAAAATCCGGTTCGATATTTTTTTTTTAGTGGCTGGGTATTTTTGATGTAGAGGTATACGTATTCGGATCAGGACCGTAACCAGAGGGAGGCGAAGGAGGGCGTTGCTCTGCCTTGAAACTAAATTGAAGTATATCAATTATCAACCCCTCATTTCTCAGATTCGTACTGCCCTGACAGAAAAATCGTTCGTCCTCCCTAAAATTTCCTCTTGGCTTCGGCCCTAATTTGGAGCAGCTAATCAACTTGGCAGCATCTTTAAGCTTGACAAATGTTTTCTAAATAAAAATCATTACTAATTGTCATTTCGGTTTACAATTTTTTATTTAACTCAAATTTACAGATTCGAACATTTTAAGTTATAGAAATTTTACTTTTCAACTTTTATTTAAATTCTTAAGTGATTTTATACAAATATTTTGTTTGTTTAAATCTTATTAAAATAAATTATGGGAAAGATATTTGTGGAGACCGTTTCTTTTGCGTTGTTTACATATCGTATCAAGCAACACATTTGATATTACATTTTATGTAAATTGTTTTGACTTCCCTTATTGATATTCGCATTTACAGAACTTCCGCCTTAAATTAATAACAGTTTCTCTGCAAATTAAAGCAAATTCGGTATTTTTATATTTGCAGTTCTATCTAGATTGCGTATTAAAGTAGCTGTAACGATGTTTTGATAAAATTGTAGTTTGAGGTCAAACAATCTCCTAAATCTGGCTGTAGTACGCAGAGTTATAGCAAGTGCGAAGTATTTAAAATGATTTTATTTTTAGACACATATAGCCAGAGTGTTCGTATTCATATGTGACGATATTACGTGACGTATATTTTATGGCCAGTATGCAAATTATATTTTTCTATATTGTCAGTGGGCGAGACAAAAATTCGCTGTAGTTAATTTGAAAATATACTTTGATTTCCTTCTATTAACCATATATAAACTCAAACAATATTAAATACCGATCTACCTATTGATTTTTTGATTCGCCAAAGATAAACAAGGTACTAAAAAATATTTTCGTTTTTACGTACACTTAGGTATCTGTTGTTTAATTATCTAGTGTTACTTATACTTTGACTATCTAAGAAAACCTAAACATCTATCAATATCTAAAACATCTCCATTTTAATATACCTACCTAATAAATACCATTAATTCCGATTTTAGAGATAAAACAAATCAGAGGAAAATAGGATATAAATAAATAAATAGTGCAGTATAAAATAACCGCACAAGTAGTACTTTTTCGATAAGCCATCACAAAGGATAAGTTTCGGGAATAACTGAAAATTACGTTAGGAATGTGCAGATTTTATTGATCAGAGCAAAATAGCTGATGCTTCTGTCTTTCCGTCAGCAACAGTCCTTCGTTTTTAAATGAAGAATTGGAAATTAATTTCAGATTTATATTGTATTTCTATCATCTATCATCATAAGGCCACTAAGGTAATGTTTAATATTCAATAAAGCTTTGCCCAATCCTTTTAAGGATTTTATTCTCTCTTTTCTCACCATAATCTCAGAAGATAAAGTGTTACGATCAGATAAAACGTAGGTAGATGTCATAAATAGCAAATCTCAAAAATTTTAAACTACAAAGCACCTATTGCTGTTGTGGATAGTTTAAGTATAAGAATTCTCATTAAAATAAATTTTTTGCGTCTCAATACCTAGATTTGATTAAATTGCGTTTATAAGCATTTGGGTAAAATGCTCATTAATTTAGATCGTGTAAATGAAATTAATGATGCAACGAATTTGAGAATTTATAATTATCAACACAATAAAATTTTGTGTACGGAAGTAATTGAAATACTTGCAAATAGCAGTTAAAAATATGAAACTAATAAATATCCTTACTACCTGCTAGTTGATAGGTAGGTGTATAATTTAATATGAAAATGGGCAAAGGACGATAAACGCACTAGGTATTGCATCAGCATAACAAATACAATAATTGCTGCTAAGTATACGCATGTTATATAGCACTGAAAGGCTACATATCGTAAACTATACACAAAACGGAATTAAAATAAATAAAAACACTTACGTTGTATAAACGCTAGTTGTAAAATACTTCCTTTCTTTACTTCTGCCTCAACTGTGTTATTAAATCTAATATTACTAATATTTACAAACAAGTCGGAACTGGAAGCAAAGACCACTAAAACAAAATACAAACTCACACTGACAGCAGGCAACGCCAATGAAAGTCGCGGGTCAGCTGATTCGCGATGTTTTGCTTACGGCGGGAGGGAGCCGATTGTCAGCTGTTTCGTTGTTTGTAACCAGCTGGATATTGACGACCGACGCCTGCGTGATAGCCGTTGCTTTGTTCAAAATAAATATCATTTTCGTATTTTCATGGTTCATGTCTTCTCTCGGTTCTCGTCGTAGTCGTCCTGTTGTTTTCCTAGTCAATAACCCGCAGTCTGAGGGAAATCTTGTGGTTCA